CTAGGTGGCGCCCAAGAGACAGTAGGACAGGAAAGACATTCTGACAGTGCCGGTTAGCGTCGAAGTGATGCGAGCGCTTCTCTTCCTCCTTCGAATCATCTCCCTCCGTAGCTGCTCAGTTGGCACCGCCACGAGCAGCACCACCACGACCACGAACATTCGCTCCACCACGTGCAGCACCACCCCTAGCACCTCCACCAACACCGTTACCGTTGCGAGCGCCACCATTACCAGCACCGCGTGCACCACCAGCGCCGCCGGCACCACCGCCAGCAGCAGGCTTTCGTCGCTCCTCGATCGTCACGTTCCATCCGTTCTTGCCGACAGCCACGCTTCCCTTGGCGGCCGCTTTGCGCGCACCGTCGACGCTGCTGAACTCGGCAAAGGCGCACGATCGGCTAGCGATGATCTGCAGGTCCTTGACCGTGCCGAACGCCTCGAGCGCCTGACGGAGCACCGCATCGGTGACCTGTTCGGCGACGACGTTCTTGATGTACACCGAGGGCGACGAGCTGGCACCGCTCGAAGCGGCAGCGGCCGACTTGGGAGAGGCTCCGGCACCAGCACCACCGGCCGAGGCAGGCTTGGCGCTGGTTGCTGCAGCGGCGGGGCGAGACGAAGAGACGCCCTTTGCTTCGGTCGAGACGTTGGATCCCCATCGAGTGGCATCCGAAGCAGCAAGCGTAGCCCACGTCTTGGGCTTGGGTGGACCGGTGGGCTGCGCAGGAGCGGCAGCAGGCGCGGGTGCGGGCGCAGCAGCAGCATCGGGAGCGGAGGAGGTAGCAGCTGGCGCAGTCTCGGTCTTGGCGGCAGCGGCAGCATCTTGTGCGCCCTTGGAAGCAACAGGAGCCTCATCAGCTTCGACAGCGGTCACCTTCTTGTCGACGCCGATCTGATCAGCGTCAGCCTTGGTGGGCTCAGCAGCGGTCGAGGTAGCCACAGCCTCGTCGACAGCAGAGGGAGCGCCCACCTGAAAAGTCTCCTGCTCGGCGACTGGCTCGGTGTCGGCCGACTCGATGGCCTTGGAAGGGGTGCTGACGGAAGGAAGGTGGGGAACGGCGTTGGCGTTACCGATGTTGTTGACCTCGATGGTGTGGGGCACCTCGACACCCTTCTTGTCGGCCTCGTCGATCTCGTCCTGGAGAGCCTCGTCGACAGCCTCTGCCTCAGCCTCAATCTCCTCCTCGTCCTTCAGGTAGCGGAAGATGTCGTTGAGGACGTAGTAGCCGTTGGGCTGTTCGGCCAGGAAGAAGGTCTGGGCAAACTTCCTCCAAGCGCCTCCGTTGTTGCTGAGCTCACCAAGAACCTGGACGAGGATACCGCCGCTCGCAGAGCTCTGGGTGTCGACATTGGAGACAAACACCTTGGCGTCCTGGAAGTCGAGCGAGGTGATCTTGTCGTGGATCTGCTGCTGGCCGAAGCACGGCGACGACTCCTCCTGTTCGGTGCCGTGGACCATGGTTGATTTTTTGGTGAAGAAGCAGTGGAGACGGCCCGGGTTCTGGTTAAGGAAGGTGTAGTACTGGGTGACGAAGAGCCAGCCTACCTCGGAGGCCTGGACGGCGGGCTTGGAGGCATTGTTACCAGCAGCGACGGCCGAGGAAGAGGAAGCTGCTGATGAGCCGTTGGCGGCGGTGGCGGCGTTGCTTGCAGTGACGGCGGCGGACATGGTGGATATGCTATACGAACGGTGACGACGAAGCCTACGACGATGGCACCCAATGAGCGAGTGGACAAATGAAAGGGAGAAGCGAACCTCTTTGAAAGGGATCGGATCGGAACCGAGCGGCTAATGCGAGGCTTTTGAAAGCGAAAGAGAAAGAAATATGATGCTGTGGCGAGAACAGCAACACTAGATGCGATGCGGTAGTAGCGGTGGTGGTGGTGGTGATGACAATGATGATGCTGATTGATCGGAATCAGCGACACTCACACTCTACTCTAGAAGAATGAATCGGGTGCACCGACTCGTGACTGTGACTGCGCGCTCCGACAGTCGGTCACACAACCTCACAGAAAAGGGTGGAGGCCAACAGAAGGCGCACACCTGCAAAGAAAGCCTTTTAGCCACGGCCTGGCTTGACTCGCATTGTGGCAGCAGCCTACGCACACGCACACACACATTTTTACTCAAGCGACTCGCTCTTCTTCTCTCTCACGCACAGAGTTTCGGGTCCATCTCGAGCTTGTATCGAGACCAACATGGCGTGGGAATTGTGCGATGAATGAGGCTGTTGACTCTAGGTTTCAAAGCAAAGCCTCTTTTTCTTTTCATTATTTGTCGCGGGTGCGAATCTGGAAGAAAGCGTCGGAAGAAGCGAGACCGGTCGGACTTGGTCCAGCCGCGCGGTGCTTCGCAAGCAGCGTCTCTGATGCTCCTGCTGCTCTGACAGTCAGACTTCTCGGCACTGTTCCGACAGCTGGTAAGACTCGCACATCGATGCCATCTCTAAGCCATGTCATCGCTCAGGTTGAAGTGATCAAAATCGATCATCGAGAGCGTCTTCATCAACGTACAAAGGGTATCATCAGTCGAAACCGAACGAGAAGAACTTGGAAGAAGTGGGCTCATCTGATCGGCTGATGCAAGGGCAACTTCCGCAGCTGCTGCGTGCTTGCTCGCTTGCCTGCCTGCTCGTGCTGTTTCTGTGTTGCTCTCTTTGACCCCGCTTTCTGATTTCTTCTCGACCACTACTTTCAGTTCTGAATTGGAGAGGTCGCGCTTTCGAATGAAAGTACACATTTCAATGTGCGAATACAAATGGAAATATTCGAGCCAGGTGACGTGTGTCCCTGGTCAGCTCTAACAGTTGCGTACGATATCGACCACGAGTCGTCATCAGCTTACCGCTCCATCGGGGTTGAAACAGGATCGTCATCACGAAACGTGTTTCGCTGTATCCAATCCCGCTCAAATGATGAACGACTCAGACTCAAGGTGGCTCGTGCCATCGTGCTTACGATCTCTGTTGTGTTATACGTGTCAACAGCTGGGCCAGCGAACGCCAAAGCCGCATCCAACTGCGAAAGAAAGAACAACACCTCTCTTTCGGTGCGTGGTTGCGCACGGGGCTCGCTCGGCGTTGCGGGTGTGTGTGTCACTTTGCTTTCTCGATTTTGAAAGCGGGGAACAACCGAGCGTGAAGCGTGAGCGTGAAATTGCAAGGCAAATATACACACAATCGCGGCAGCTCATCACAGCACGGAGGACAATCCGAATAGAGTGTGTGCCTCGTCGGAGCGCATCCGCCATCACACGGCTCGTTTGATAGATGTCTGCGTCCACCATCACGACCTTCACCCGCTGAGCCCGTTTGCCTCTCAGTCAAGTCCACTGATCAACATATCGGGGACTGCTTCCGAAGCGCGCTTTTGCAGGATGGAGCTCAACGTCGACAACGCCAAAGCGCTCTTGGCTCAGCAAGAGCACGAGCTGCAGTCCACACGCGATGCTCAGTCGAACCTGCGCGCCGCTCAACCCATCACCGCATCTACCATACATCCAAACGGTACTGCTGTCGACCTCGCACCCGCTGTCGCTGCCGCCGCTTCGACACCCGAGTCTGCGGCTGCGGCTGCGGCTGCGTCACTCCCTCCAGCGATGGCACCACCATCGAGCGCACCTCCCACCGCCTCCTCGACAGGCCGCATGCAGCTCATCGACGAGCACCAAAAGTTCAACAGCTCCGAATTCTCTCCACACCTCACTCAATGGGGACTCGACGACGTCGGCTTCGGCTACGACCTCTGCGCCGTCCTCGGCTCCCAATCCACCGGCAAATCCACCCTCCTCAACAAGCTCTTCGGCACCAACTTCGACGTCATGAGCGAGTCGGCGCGTCAGCAGACCACAAAAGGAATTTGGATGTGCAAGGGGCTCAAGATGAACGTCCTCGTCATGGACGTCGAAGGAACCGACGGACGCGAACGAGGCGAGGACCAGGACTTTGAACGCAAATCCGCCCTCTTCTCCATGGCATCCGCCGAAGTGCTCATCGTCAACCTGTGGGAGCACCAAGTCGGTCTCTACCAGGGAGCCAACATGGGTCTACTCAAGACGGTCTTCGAAGTCAATCTAGGCCTGTTCCAAGCGAGCAAAGCCAAAACCGTCGGTGCAAAGGACAAGACCTTGCTGCTCTTCGTCATTCGCGATCACATCGGCGTTACACCACTCGAAAACCTCTCCGCCACCATCATGGCCGATCTCTCCAAGATCTGGTTCTCCCTGTCCAAACCCGAAGGACTCGAAAACTCCAACATCACCGACTTTTTCGACTTCATGTTCACCACCCTCCCGCACAAGATCCTCCAACCCGTCGAATTCGACCGCGCCGTCGACCTCCTCCGCAACCGCTTCGTCGACCCCAAGGATCCCAACTTTGTCTTCCGAACCGAGTACCACAAGCGCATCCCCGCCGACGGTCTACCCCACTACCTCGAGTCCATCTGGGAACAGGTCATGACCAACAAAGACCTCGACCTCCCCACCCAGCAGGAGCTCCTCGCGCAGTTCCGATGCGACGAGATCGCCAACGCCGCCTTCACCCTCTTCGCTACGGACATCAAGGGGTTCCGCAAACTCATCGAAGGCGGTTCTGTTCTCGAAAGCTTGGGTCCGGACATGGCGCTGCATCGAGCCGCCGCCATGAGCAAGTTCGATCGCGACGCCAGCAGATACCACCCGGAAGTGTACAAACGCAAACGCATCGATCTGCTCGAGAAACTCAACGCCTCGCTCTCACCGTTCTTCCTCGGTCAGCTCAAGAACCTCCACCGAAGCCTGCTCGCCTCCTTCAAGCAGAACGTGCTCGACAGGATGAAGAACGACGCCAACTACGACTTTGGCTCGCTCGTAGGCGGCGAGAAGAAGGCGGCGATGGCCAAGTTCGAGTTGGCGGCGAGGGCGGTGCTGCTGGACGAGACGGATTGGTCGATCCACGACGAGGTGGCCGAGTTGGAAGCAGAGATCCAGAGCATTTCCGATACGATGAGGGTCGAGGAGACGCGGAAGATGGTGGTGGCGATCGAGCGGACCTTCAAGAAGAACATTTCAGAGCCGGTGGAAGTCGCCTTGACTTCTCCCAAGGACACACTTTGGGACGAAGTTCTGACAGCATTTTCGGGACTTCTCGAGCAGGCTGAAGGGAATTATCTGAAAAAGGCAAAGAGCTTCAATTGCACGGACAAAGAGAACGAAGTTGCGTTGATGGATTTGAGGAGGAAGAGCTGGTTGAGTTTCCGGGCGAAAGTGGACGAGCAGACGGCGGATTCCGTCATGGCAGGCAAACTGCGCGGATGGTTCGAGGATCGATTCCGGTACGACGATGCTGGTGTTCCGCGGGTCTGGAAACCGGAGGACGACATCGATTCGGCCTACCGCAAAGCTCGGGACGAAACGCTGACCCTCATCCCGCTGTTCTCCAAGATCCAGCCTTCCAACCCCTCCCTCCTCCCCGACATCCCCAGCACCTCAGACACCTCCGACCCCGACGCCGACGCATTCGACCTCCCCTCGACGCTCACCATCCTCACCCCCACACGCACCTCCTCCATCGCCTCGCGCTTCCGCAAAGAAGCAGACGCGCTGTACGTCGAAGCCAAACGCTCCACCGTATCCTCCATCGCCCAAGTACCGCTCTGGATGTACGGTGTGATGCTCGTGTTGGGGTGGAACGAGATGATGGCCGTGTTGTCGAGTCCGGTGTACTTTGCGTTCTTGTTGGTGTTGATCGCCAGCGCGTATGTTGTTTGGAGGTTGAACCTCAGCGGTCCGCTGTTGAGCGTGGCGAGGGCAGTGGTTAGGGAGGTACATAGATTGGCGGATGACACGTTGAGGAGTCACTTCAGTCAACCCGTGCCCGCTCAGCAGGTCAGACACGACCCGAAACCGGAGGAGATCGAGTTGCAGGAAAAGTAAATGTCCATTGATATCACTTGTAAGGCACACACTTTTAAAATCGACCGACATCCCTTCCGAACAAAATATTGCTCGCCCAGTTCGCAGGAACCAAGAACCGATTCCTCCAGCTCATCGACATGATCGTATACGCGCTCCGCCAGAGCACCCACGCCAGCGCGCCCGACTCCTTCTTGACGGGTGAATCGATGAGCGCCTTGCCCGATCCGATGGAGGCCATGCTACCCTTGTCGAGGAACTTGAACGGTTTCGGTGGTTCGCTGGAGGGTTGCGAGATGTGCGTGTTGAAGAGCGAGGCTAGGTAGGAGCCTTTTTGGGAGGCGACTTGGGCGGTGGCGGGGAGCGCGCCCGAGGTTTGACTGGAGCAGTCGCCGAGTGCAAACACGTTGTCCAGCGGCACCAAGTCGTCCGTTTGCGAAGCAGAGTCGTACAGCGATGGGTTCAACACCGATCCTCCCAGCGAGGCCGAGTTCGAGTTCGAGACGAGCACGTTCAACGTATCGTTGGTCAAGACCTTCCCCGTCCGCTCTTCCTTGCCGACACCACGGAACGCTTCGATCAGGGGCGAGGTGGTGATACCCGTACTCCAAACCACCATCCCTGCACCCAGCTTTTCTTCCACTCCTTCTTCCGAGGAGAGAACGACGGCGTCCCGCTCAACACGTTTGATCTTGGCACTCAGTCGAACTTGGATGCCGTCTCGAGCGAACTTCTTCATGGCGTAGTCTGCCAGCCCGGCATCGAAGCTCGACAGGATGGATTTGCCGGCATCGAGCAGTCGGATGGACGGGTAGGAGCGGAGGTTCGGATAGAGTCGGGCGAGGTCGTCCTTGATCTGCGTGTATCGTTCAAAGCGCAAGGAAGCGTGAATGACGTTGTGAGCTTTCATTTTTCCTTCATATAGAGAGGCGCCGTGAGGATGTACTTACCAAATCGTGAAGTTCCGCCGCAAACTCTGATCCCGTAGGACCGCCTCCGACGACGACAAAGCTCAACAGCTTTCGGAGTTCTTCCTCCTGCTCTGTCGTCATCTGCTTCCCATCCGAAGTGTAGTAATGATGTTTGGCATTGGCACTCTCGAACAAACCCAGGATCCTCCACCTTATCGCCCTCGCATCGCCCACATCTTTGAGGAACAACGCATTCTCTTTCACACCTTTGGTCCCGAACGTCGCGTTGTACGATCCCACACACATGACCAGATAATCATAATCGAGTGAATAGGTAAACCTCTTTCCCTCCTCCTTCGGCTGTGCCCCCGACTGGAGTGGATCCGAGAGACGAAACTGAGGGTTGAAGGCGGACGTGAGTTCGATCTTTCGTTTGCGGAAATCGACGGCGTCGCACCAGGCATGGTGGTACTCCATCCAGCGGTTGGAGTGGATGGGTTCGATGGCGGAGCGGAAGTCGAGCGTGGCGCAGCTGGCTTGGGCGAGCAAGGGGGTGAAGGAGAAGGAGGTGGTGGGGGAGATGACTTTGACGTCGAAGCGACGCAGCGTCGGGTAGGAGAGCGATTTGAGGAATGCGTAGCCGCCCCAGCCTGTGCCGAGCACCACCAGGCGCTGTTTGTGTTGCGAGGTGGCCTCTGTTGCGTAGCATCGAGAGTGAGAGTAGGAAGGGCGAGGGTGGACGCGTGAGAGTGTGGATCCGGTGCTGCGTATGAGCGACATGGTGAGGGCTGTTGCTCGACGTGTGCCGGAATGGTGGTGGGAAGAAAAGCGCACAGCCGATGTGAAGATGATCAGAAGATGGGTGATGGTAACGCGCCAGAAGATCATTCGACAAGGCACTGTATGACACCTCTCCTCGTCGTTATCACAACACGACCGTCGAACATCAACAGGTCGGACACCTGCCGCTCTCTCACTCATCGCCCTTCGTCCAAGCCACACACACTCTCAGTCACTCTGTCACACATCTTCCACGCTTGACCGCTTCGAATCCGATCCAGTGCGTTTGTCATCTTCCACCGCTTCTTCTCGTCTCTGCATCCGATTTGGTCAATGCGTTTTTCCCATCACACGTTTCGGAAAGGGTCCCGTTCAGCAATTCGCAACCAACGGCACCAACGTGTGAAAACTGTCAGTCGGATTGTATGGCTGTCACGCTTAACCGCCTGCGCTCTCGGGTCCTGCATGAAAAGCTCTCTCACTCATCGTCGATTTTCCGAAAAATCAGTAAAGACCCTTAGAGTCGACATGCAGTGCAGCATCATTTCACAGCGCACTGGACCCTTTTGACTCCTCACAGTGATTGCTGGCGGTAGGGTGGGTTCCGGTAGCTCCCGCTGTCACATCCGAGATCGCGGGGGTCCTTTGGCAATGCTCTCCGTTCCCGTGATTCAGATGGTCTTGCGTGAAAGCTACTCTGCCACTCTCCTCCGCAAAACCCAGTCCAGATTGCGATCAATCAAATCCAAGAACGCCCTCGACTGGATCATCCCGCATCAGCCCACGTCCTATGGGTTTGCAGCAGCTAGAACGGCACTTTCTATCTTCGTCAGACATGTTACGGTTGTTCGGATAATCATAAGATGATAGATGCTAAATATGCAAAGGGGAGCTAAAACTATAAGAGGTACAGATGGGATAGTGTGTGCGGGGAAAAGACATGCTGATATGCGAGGCTCGTCCATGGATGTATAAAAAGACGAGAGGTATGATGTGGGTATGCAGAGCCGCAGATGCATCGATTGTAGTGAGAGACCAAGGAAAAAAAAGTGTCCGTATTTTGCAACAGTGCAAGCAAGCTCTAGCTTTGTCTTCTAGAAAGTGGCACTGCTGGCAGAGCTGAAGCTTCGAGAGGCCGGTTTGCGGGGCACGCGCACCCGCAGCGTGTGCCCGTCGAATTCGGCCTTGACGTTGATCAGATCGCACTCCTTGTCGGGAAAGGTGATGCGGCGCTCAAAGTGTCCGCCTCCTTCGGCGTCCCACCTGTCGGCGATGATGTGCAGCGTGCGGTCTTGCGAATGACGTTTCGTGACAAGCGTGATGCAGTCAAGCGAGAAGCCGGGAAGGCGTGTCACGAGGGTATAGTGGTGTCGCTCCGTCTCGATTACCAAGTCGGTCTCAGGAGGCGCCGGTCGACGCTCCAAGAATGGTAGCGACGGCGGGCTGATCGGCGTCGAGATGCTGCACGACGAGTTGCGTGCTCTCATCGGCGAGCTCTGCGGCAGCGAGTCGTCGTCGTCGTCCTTCTCCACCTCGTCGCATGAAACGCCGGCAGCATCAGCGTCCCGACCGACGCCGGCTTCGGACCATGACTGTTGCGGCGCGAGTTGATCCGACGCATCTGAAACCAAGTGGGTTCTTGTGCTCGTGGTGGTCTTGGTCGTGGTGGTTGTGGTGGTGGCCAAAAGACCAACGTTCGTCGCCTCGAGGATGCTGTCGGACGTCTCGGAAACGTGCGAAGGGCTGGGGGCGCGAAGCGTGTCGTCTGTCTCTTGCTTTAGTGCCGCCGTCATGGACGACGTGGAGTGAGGCGCCTGACCCGCCTCTGGGGTCAAGGGGCCGGTGGAGGCAGGCGAAGAGACACCTTGCGCGATGCGTCGGCCGTTGCGACTGGTGGGCCAGCTGTCGCGCTCCCTCGCGTCATCATCATCGTTGTCGTCGGCAACCGTGGATTGCGAGAGCTCTGGTGTCATGTTGGGCGCGTCGAGCGGATTGCGAGCTTCGCGCGACGATGAGCAAGACGAAGAGGATGTGCTCGGAAGAGCGGAAGCTTGAAACATTTCCAAGGTGGACTGGACGGGACCAGACTTGGCCGACGAGTCTCGCATGGAAGCGAGCATATTGCGCGTCTCGGTAAACTGCTTCGAGTTGTTGGGCTCGACGCTCGAGAAGCTGGCGTGGCGTCGCGCAGCCGCTTCGGGATCGTTCAACAGTATGCTGTGGCTGAGACGCGGCGCATCGAGAGCGAAGAAGGCCGAACGATGGTTGGTGGCGTCGAAGGACGTGGGCGAGTCGAGGTGGTCGGAGAGCGAAGGCGATGCGATGACGGACGAGGCAGCCGGGTCTTGCGACAAGGGCGGGGCGGTGGTATGACGCGAGGCGTGGAAGCGATCATTGTCGGGGAGAAGACTCCTCCAGCTGTCTGATCTTGCCGAATCTTGACTTTGCATGGACGAGCGACCGAGGCCAGCCATGGACATGGTGGAGAAACCGCTCCTTGCGCTGCTGAACGAGGTGCGAACCGTGCCCGAGGAGTAGGTGGACATGTGATCGTGGTTGATGACGAGCGGCGAAGCCTTGGCTGCGGCGTAGGTGTCGATGTCGAACGCGTTTTGGGATGGCGGCAGCATGTGAGGCGAGGCGGTGCGCTTGACGTGAGAGTCGCGCAACTTTGCTTCGGAGGCAAAGTAAGGGTCGTCATCGGGAAGCAGCGTGCGCCACGAGTCTGGACTCGTCATGCTGGCGCGCAGGGCAATGTCCGGATCCAAGCTAGGAGAAGCGTTCATATTGTTTGCGAAACTCTCTTGAGAGGTGGCGTCGGATCAGGAGATGCAGGCGCGAAACATGACAAGGACGGTGGTGACGGGTGAGAAGGGATGGCTCGAAAGAAAGCAAGCAAAGTAGAGGGTATCGACTGTTCGAAGCTGATGGCCGAGGAAAGCTCGGTGCGGCGAAATGGAGGGGTTCGCGATGAAAGGTGGGCGAATACGGCGTCAAGAGGTGGCAATCAGCGGCGTCGGAGCGGTCGATTCGGTACTTCGCTGCAAATGAAGTGCGCTGAGGATGACAGGCGGAAAGAGCAACGCGTGCTAGGAACAGGCAACCCAGGGTATCAGACAGCGGATTGCCGAGGCGGTGCTACGGACGCGGGTCTGTTGCTGAACAGACAATCTTGAGGTGGGTGAGATGCGAGTGTGCGAAGATGTAGGTGGCGAACGTTGCAAGTAGGATGGCGATTGTACAGAGAGGATGCAAGAAGTGGCGATGACGGATATGATGATTGTCGTGTGGTGACCTGGCCAGAGAAGCGTCCAAAGGCAACCGAAACTCTGTCAGTGAGGTGGTGGTGGTGGTGGTGGTGTACGACGAGGAGAAGAGGGACACGAGGTGGCAGAACGTACGACGGTAGCGGGTGACAGGCCGAGAGTGAGAGAGAGGCAGCCAGCAGCAGCAGCAGCAGCAGCATCAATTGTGTGTGACGCTGTGACAAATTCGGCAGCAGCACACGGCGGTGCAAGCAAAATCATAATGGCAGAGTGGCGATTTGGTCAGCGCAGCCAACGCGCCGCAGAAAGCACGGCAGCAGACGGCAGTGTAGCCACCCAAGCGGCACAACAGTCTCACACAGCTCTCTGCAGTGGCGAGACTGATATTTTCACCGGAACGAGTTGCGATGATCTTGTTTATTAATACAGTAATATAAAAAATAATTCCGAAAACGAAAATGACAAACTTCACCAAATCTCTCTCTGCTTTTTCCCTTCAACACACGTTCCCGAGCACAGGCTGTAGGCGTGTCTCTGGGTGTCCAGTATGTGTCTTGACCGGTCGTGCCGACCAACGATCTATAGGTCATGGACGCAACTGTAGTGCAAGCTCCCTCATGATTGTGGATCTCAGTGATCTCAGTGTAGGACAGCCAGGCAAGCTGTCTAGAGGCTGTTCTTCAACGCCGAGGGTGCAAGCAAGAGTCAAAGCAGTTGACAGCCCTGCGCCTAGGTTGGGACAACTCGCAGACCATGTTCTTCCCGTAAATTAACTCAAAGCTTCACCAAGGCGTAGCACAACCGAGGCGAGGTCAAGCGTAGGGAGCGACCGGTCCGTCGACCGGCAGTGGACAAGTCGGAGTCGAAAGCGCAGAGGGGAATGCGGAGAGCCGAGTGGAATGGAATGGTGCTTCAAACCCTGACGCAATGCATCCTTTCTTTCCATGAATCCGACCCACGGGTTCACTTTTCGAAATTGGGTTGTTGGGCAAAAATGGAAGAAAGGGAAAAAAGACCAGCGTCCAGAGCGGGGCTCAAGTGCAGGCAGGCAATTTGCGAATCTGGCATCTCTGAGATAGTTTACGCCAACTCTAAAGTCGGGATCCGCCCTTTTTTCCTTTGTGGATTTTGACTCCGCTCTTCTCTGCGCAGTATGTCCGCTCGAGAGAGCCCTTTTCTTGTACTGCACACTGATCACGCTCTTCTGGGCTGCTGCAGTGCTTTGTGATGGCTGCACGAACAGGAGTCAGTGTGCGGGACCCATTCCGATAGGAGGCCACAATAACGCGAGAGCGAGGCTGAGGCGGCGATGCGCAAATGCATGAATCCCGGAGACTGCTGCCACGCCTCAGATGTGAACCACCCAAGCCCCTGAGCGCCACCCTTGATTCTGCACGCAGCCAGCCATTTCGTGACGGGACATGCAAAATATGCGGGACGCACTTGATGACGACATGTTCGAACCTAGCCGAGGTTGGAGGGGAATTCACAAATATAGCTTAAAACAAAATATAATATGATCACAGCGCCGCGCTCTCTGCTGCTGGAAAGGCTCAGTCGATGGCGTCCGTAGTCTCCTTCCGCACGACGCCGTCCAGGACCGACGCTCAGCGTGGCTCCAGCAAGCAAGCCAGTGTTCTGGCTCAACAATGGGGAGACAGACGAGGTTGATGTTGAAAAGAATGAATAGAACGAAGCACCAAGGCGGAGCGTCAAAAAGTGAATCAACGATGCTGCATAAGATTCAAACGATGGCGTGCGTGCAACACAGCAGCCAAAGCCATGGCTCAACTCTGTCGTCGACACGATAGATACAGTAGACTCGTGACCCGCAACCACGACCCGGGACCATTGCAGGTCACCACCTCGACAACCAACCAAAACCTAATCGGCAACCTGTCGTCTGACCTCGCTAAGTTTGACTCGCCGTTCGGTATCGCTTCTCAAGGTCGTCGTCGACCACCGGCCAAGTTGCTCGGCGTGTCGAAGTCAGCAAAGGACCCTAGCTTATCGTTCGTTATCAATCCCCGTTCCCAAGCAACCCTAGGGTCTCTCTCTCTTGACGAAATCCACGTTCCGAAGGGTCGTTGCCAAGCTGGACCCTTTCTGGAAGCGCCGCCACACCTTGGCAACGGCCTTCGCTCGTCCCCTTCCCATCCTCGTTGTCAGACAGCTGCCGACACACCCTGCTCGTGTCCATCTTGAACCGAAGAAGGTTTCAAACCAGTCTCGTGCCCACATCGATTCAAAGTGGCTCGCAACGTCGAGTCGTGCACTGCCAACGAGTAAAACAACACGCATTCCTGCTTTCGGATGACGGCCTCTTACATTCGCCTGCCGAGCCGACCGTGTCGCTCGCGTAATTGCAAGCGCTCCGCTCGCCAGTGCAGCATGACGAAGAGTGTACTCTAAATCGTCTCGCTTCCACAGCAACGATACAACGCAAAACGTTTTTTTGTATCTCTCTTCGGCTGCATCCGACGGGTCGCGCACGGTGGTTTGCAGGATGCACGGGCATTTTCGACTCGAAAGCGAAGACGCTAGCGTCAGGTTCCCAATTGGTCGATGCTAGCTGTTCGGCTCAAGCACCAGCAGGCTCGCCGTCGTTCCGTCGACCTGGCAAAAGCCGGCGCTCTTGGCTCCCGCCTACAAACGTCGCCGTTCCGATTCTCGTTTCGTCCAAGCGACCCTTGTATTCTCGGTACGTAGACGCCGCGATTCCCGACCGTCAGGAAAGCGAGTGACCGAGCCAAGCCGCATGCCCTCTCGACCGTGTTACAGGTCATCCATCTCTGCCAGCCCGCAATCTCACCGACTAGTGACAGCGCGGACGACCTCTGGCGCGATCGACACCACTGAACGCATCACGTGTTCCTCAATCCCTGCATGCACGCTCATTTCAAATCTCTGTCAGCACAATTCAGCCAGCGGGCTTGGCAGCGTCTTCGGATGCGATCGACAGCTCTGCATCCAAGCCATCAACAACAATCCCGCTTCTTTTGATCTCCAACGTCGGGACCGTTTCAGAAAGCGCAGCAAATAGCAGTGACTGCAGCTCACCTGCTGTGGTCGATCGAGGCGGCCACCTTGGCTTGGCTGCATGTCTTGTGGAACAGTCAGCATCCCGAAGCTATTAATAACATCGGGACGGTACGAACCAATCATTTCATCGGTACCACACTTCTCAGATGCAGGAAAATCCCGGCGTTCTTTTTCTACAGTGCATGTGGCTTGTCGCTGTGTCACCGGCTCGTCGATGCGAAAGAATGCTTCTTGATATTCTTCCGATCCGGAGACTCTCCGAGATGGGTACGAGATTCCACCCGGAGTCGACCGTTGCTAGAGCTGTCACTCTAACTTGGTCATTATCTGCGGTGTACAAATACTGACTTTCCCAACTCGCCGGCAGCGTAACAGTTCATGTGGCTGCTCGACGTTCATGCGGATTCTGCACATGCAAAACGCATCTTGATCGAGCATCTCTTTCAAAGATCAAAGGCGTTTTTTCTTGGCACAGACATGGGGACGAAGTTGTCGCTGCAACTACAACCAGGTTCGAGGCGGTTCTCGTTTCGCGTTTAGCAGGGCCTTTCTAAAAGTGATCCGATTCTAGAGCAGAATCGGGCAGCGCGGTACCGAAAGCAATCGCGGCTCTACAAGGGGTACTCACTTCTGCAACCCGCAAACAACCACGCGACAATCCTCGCCTGACACGCACTCTTTTCCCCGGACCAAACCAAAGGACACTCGAACGCTCTGCAACCTTGATCCACCACCTGCAGTAACTAGGACTTTGCTGCTACGGACTTTTTTCTCGTGTGTTTGCTTTGCCAGGGACGCGACCTGAACGCCAGGGGTGAGAATTTTCCGAAACATGGCGCACTCCCATCCGAGCGACATCGGCATGAACACACGGTCAGACCTTCCACGCGGGCTCGGCATTTCGAGCAGACACAGTTCCCAGGATCAGAATGATTGCCGCGAAAGCTGTAGGGATTTTATTTGGTACAAACAAACAGTCACGCCTCGGTGAAAGGGTTTCTTCTGCTCGTGACGCCGTTGAACCAGGGGAAAGAGTTGCGATGCGAGTCTGGTGCTTTCACCCGATGGGCGTCGTCGAACGTCGTTTCTGCACACGCAACGCAACTGCGCAGGATGGGAGTGCGACGGCAATGTTCGATCGTTTCAACAGAATATCGGCTGCATTGGGATATCCGCAGCTCCGTCGTCTCGCCCTGTTCTTTCCCTCGTCCGTCCTCCTGCAGCGTCGCCTGGCATGAGTCGACAGCCTCCATCCTTCCCGATGATCAGCCTGTCCTTGCGACATCGAGCCCAATCACGATCCATCGTGTTCGGTCACCATTGTGTTGCTATGCGTATATTGCCAGTCCGGGTTGTTGATACAAGTACAAATGAGGTTGGATGTCAAAAGAATGCTGTGGGGGCGTCGTCGTCGCTTCAAGCAGCGGGTTAGTGTCGGTGCTTGTCGTCGAGACTTCATCGTCGCGCTTGAAAGCTTGTCTGTGGTCATCGTTTCAGGGTATAGCAGGACAGATTTACTTCTTCTTGCCCTTCATTGCTGCACGTCGACCCTCGCCTATTCATCGTTCAAAAAGTCAGATTCGTCAGTACAAAGTCTCTTGTGGATCTTCTCTTCTCCGCCCGCCAACTTACCTTTCTTAGGTGGACCTTTGCCGAGCATCTTCTTCCTCTCGACGTCCTTCTCCCTCTGAATCTCCCTGACGTCCTGCAACCTTCCCAAGCCGGGGGCGAGCTTTTCGATCGCTCGGAAGTTGACCGTGGGTGGGTAGTAGCTCAACATGGAAGGGCCCTGTAACCTTGCACGGAGGTACTTGGCGCCTGTCCTCGCGTTGGTTGGGTTGTACGAGGTGCCGAAGACTTTGGCTTGCAGTGCTTTGAGTGATGACACTGCTGATGAGGATGGTGCTACTTTCATCTTGTCGGGTGTTTGCTTCCGTAGAAGAAGGAGGCGGGAAAGGTGGTGATTAGGAGAAGAATAGGGTCGAGCATCAGGAAGAATCGATGCAGGGCGAAAAGTGACAGCTTGCCCGGCAAAAAGCTAAGTCACGTGTAGGGGGTGTCTCGCACGAGTGAATTGTGCAAGGCGGAAGTGTTGGCGGAAGCTCAACCGCGGCCTGCTTTCAAGGCACAGCTTTCAGATAAATGTCAAATTCCGACGCACCGTGCACGGTCTGGAACCTCTGGCTGAGTTTCCACGCCCCGCAGCCAGAAGCGACTGTGAACGTTTATCTTGCTCCGCACAGCCCTCGTCTCTTACTATCATCCACATCAAGGCCACGTCCTCAGTTCGACAGACTGAGTCGGTCAACACCACTACACCACACCAGAGGTGAATATACGTCCATTTGCTTGCACGGCAGGATTCGCACGAACCTTTCATCACAAAAGCCATGGCGTATCCAGGTCAAGGCGGACACCACTATCAGCAGTCGCACGGCGGCGGCGGAGGAGGAGGCGGCTTCCCAGCACCGCCGCAGGGGTATGGACAGCCAGGATACGGTTACGGGCCACCGCAGGGGCATCAACAAGGCTACCAATCGGGCGGAGGATATGCACCACCAATGCAGCCTCCGCAGGGCGGCGTGCAGGGTCAGATGGGATACGGCTACGCTCCACCTTCGGGCCCCGTCGGTCCTCCCGAGTACGCCTCCAACCACGTCAACTACAACCCGCAGGGCGGTATGATGGGCAACCAGCGCTACGAGTACTCATCGATGCAGGGCAAGCGCAAGGCGCTGCTGATCGGTATCAACTACTTTGGACAGAATGGAGAGCTTCGAGGATGCATCAACGACGTTCGAAACGTGCAGGGTTTCCTTCGACAGCGCGGATACAAGGACGACGACATGGTGGTGCTGACCGACGACCAGCGCGATGCACGCAGCATCCCGACGAGGCAGAACATGACGGCGGCGATGCACTGGTTGGTGCGAGGCGCCCAGCCGGGCGATGCGCTCTTCTTCCACTACAGCGGACACGGTGGTCAGGCCAAAGCGTCGCAGGGAGACGAGGCGGACGGATACAACGAGACCATCATCCCCGTCGACTACCAGCAGGTTGGGCAGATGGAGGACGACGAGCTGCACGCCATCATGGTGCGTCCGCTCCCCGTAGGCTGTCGTCTCACCGCCATCTTTGACTCGTGCCACTCGGGTACCGCGCTCGACCTGCCTTACGTCTACACCACGTCGGGCAACGTCAAGGAGCCCAACGTCATAGCGGGCGTGGGCAAGGGTCTCATGGGAGCAGCGATGAACTACGCGCGCGGCGACGTCATGGGCATGGCCAAGGGACTCTTCTCGACCTTCACCACGGCCAAGAACACGAACGGAGCCGAAGAGATCACCAAGCAGACGCGCTCGAGCGGTGCCGACGTGGTGATGCTGAGTGGATGCAAGGACTCGCAGACGAGTGCGGATGCCACCGAGGCGGGCAAGGCGACGGGCGCGTGCTCGTTCGCATTCCTCACCGTGATGAACCAGTACCCGCAGCTGACGTACAAGCAGATGCTCAATGCGGTGAGGGACGTGCTGGCGAGCAAGTACAGTCAGAAGCCGCAGCTGAGCTCGTCGCATCCGATCGATATGGATCTGCTGTTCGTTCTCTAGAGGTTTTCTGGAGTTGCTTTGCATTGAGTGTTTCGAGAATATACTGTTGTTATAATGATGCTGCGAGATTGTGGTTGTGGATCTCACGTTCTGAAGCACCGACCGACGGGTTCTCCGTGGCAGTGAGAGGCGTCGGAGGGGCCCGTGGAGGGTCTGAAGCTTGTGTTGCCCTGTCAACCTGAGCTATTCTGTTTGGAGTTTCAAGCTGCTACAACACGTCAACGTCAAACGGCGGGTGACAGGCAGTCGGATACGCCGCCGATGACGTCCAACTTCGGTGTCACGGGCCATCCGATCTGCGGTGTGCAGCCTCCACAAAATTGACGTTCTTTTTCACCTTTCTCGACACTCCCTTTTTTTTGGGGGGGGGATTGCTGTTTTTCAGCCTTCTTTTTTCTTTCGACTTTTCTCTTGCTTCGGCTTCCCCGCTTCTGGCGAACCGGGTTGAGACTTGTCAAGCTTGACTCTTTGGTTCGATCGTTCGTCTTTCCTATCCACCATCAACACCGTTGCGATCACACAGACAGCATGCTGGACGCCGTCTTCCAGCCTATCGCGGACGCCGCCGGCGCACCCGTCGACTACATCAAACTCTTCACCTGTCTCCTCGCCGCCTTCCCCCTCGCCTCCGTCTTCCCGCACCTCCCCTCTCCTGCGTCCAAACACCTGTACAGCCTCCTCGTCTCGTTCACCTTCCTCGTGCCTATCCTCAACCTCTACTCCGGCTTCCTGCAGCTCCTCGGCTCGGCACTGCTCACGTATGCCATCTGCACCTTCAAGCTCGGCGGGAAGAACATGGGTTGGCTGGTGTTTGCGCTGCAGATGGGACATCTGACGTACAACCATGCGGTGCGGAAGTTTGGTGGGATCCCGCTTTCGACGATCGAAATCACGGCGATGCAGATGGTGGCGGTGATGAACCTGACGACGTTTGCGTGGGACTGCTACGATGGACAGGTGAGGACGGAGGAGCAGTGCGACGAGTCGCAGAGGAAGAGCAGGATCACCAAGATGCCGGGGTTGCTCGAGTTCTTGGGATATGCGTTTTACTTTCCCGGTGTGCTCATCGGTCCATCCACCCGCTTCGTCGATTACCGAGCGTGGAGCACCGGAAAGCTCTTCGCCTCCCCGAAAGGCAAACAACCAGCCACCGCGCCCGTCCGTCTTCCCCGCGGTCGTCTCTCCGCCTCCCTCTTCCAGCTCTCTTCTGGTCTCGCCTTCATGGCGATCTACACCGTCTTCGCGCCCGCCTACTCGTACGAAAAACTCATCGGTCTCCACGGCGGACTGTCGCACCTCTCGCCGCTGCGCAAACTCCTCTGGATCCAGGTAGCAGGCTTCATGGCGCGCACAAAGTACTACGGCATCTGGTCGCTCACCGATTCCGCCTGCATAGTCTCCGGTCTCGGCTACAACGGGGGCGATCGATGGGATCGCTGTCGCAACATCGACATTCCCAAGATCGAGTTCGCCAACAACTGGAAGGAGCTGCTCGACGCGTGGAACATGAACACCAACGTGTGGCTGCGCAACAACGTCTACAAGCGCATCGCTCGGCCGGGCAAGAAGCCGGGTTTCAAGTCAACGATGACGACGTTCTTCACGAGCGCGTTTTGGCACGGACTGGAACCGGGCTACTACATGTCCTTCGTCCTGGCCGGGTTCATGCAGAGCGCAGCCAAGATGCTGAGACGTCATGTCAGACCACTATTCTTCTCCCAACCGAACGTACCCAACCCCACGTTCAGCAACGTTCTCACTTTTTCACCGGCGCAACTTGCGTATTGCACAGCTAGCGTGATCGTCTCCCAGATCACGCTCAACTACGCGGTGGCGCCGTTCATGCTGCTCGAATTCAAAGCATCGCTCGCCGGCTGGAAGGCCGTGTACTTCTACGGTCACGTGTTGACGTTCGTCGCCATCGTAGCGTTCCAGAACGGGTTGGGCAAGACTTTGGATAGGAAGAGGGGGAAGGTGGCGACCAAGAAACGCGATGAGGTGGCGTTCGCGAGCGGCTTCACAACGGATGCGGATAGCGATGCGGAGGGGGTGAGGAGGAGGGTGAATGGGACGAGGAAGGAGAAGCTGCATGAACAGGCCAAGGAGGTGAGTGCGTTGGCGCCGGAGCCCATTTCGTGAGAATACGGGCGAGTGGATGGATGCGCAAAGGAGGAAAAGGGCGAAAGTGCCATGGAAAAGAAGGTACACGAGATGGACTGTGTCGCGCTGATCGATCGAGACTCGAGAGCAAAGTGTCACAGCTGGTCAGAGCCGCAAGCGATTTCACACACACGTCCAGAACTGATGCTCTTGTACAGGACGTTGCATGCACACGAACAACCAAAAAAACTTGACACCGACGGTTCCAGATTACGGAGGCCGTGAGAAGGGAAAACCTTTTTGTTTTGGCTGCTTGCAACATTGTCCTCGGAAGAGTTTGCTGATTCCTGCTTGTCAAACAAAAGTCAAGAGCCCACAGTTTGGATCATCACCACAGCACAACCTTGCTTGCAATGGCAGCAAGAACTCCATACTATTGTATGGCGAGATCATAGCGATTGCGGCTGGCGAGCCCTGAGATGGGGTTGCCTGAGTTGTATACGTGGCAGGAATGCAAAGCGTACTTGGGGGAACTTTACGTGATCCGATGATTCTCAATGCATTGCACCCGCGGAGGGAGGCGAGAAACAAGATCGACCACAGATGGGGTTTGGTCGAGGCAAAGCATCGGCGTAGAGTCGATGAATCGACATCTTTTTCGAGCCATGAGGCCTGGAACGACAGCAAGCGTCACAAGATGACCGTTAGCAGAGCGATCGACACCCTCCATCCGCCACCCTCTCACACACACACGATAACCGTAGGCACTCATCGCTCAAAAATCACGTTCCAACTTGAAATCGTGTATTCACATGTTGACATTGGATCACCATCCCTTACTGCGTAGGTACAGGACTAGGTTCATCCATCGGATCATCCCAATTAATATTGTCCTTGGTGCCCTCCACCCTCTCCTTCATGGTCCCAAAGATCATATCCCACAACCTGGTCTGCTTGCCATAGTTACCGCTCTTCTTCCAACCGCGTCTATGATGCAGATCGTGATCCTCCAAACACAGCTCTGCGCCGATCCACCTGAGATACCACGTCGTCGGGTTCTGGAAGTAACCCCTCAACCCGGAGTGACCGCTAGCTTCGATGAAAAGGATGTAGCAGGTGCTGATCCACCAAGTGGCGAAATTGATGCGCCAGGTGAGCCAGGCGAGGATGGGAATGCCCACCATATCAAAAAACTCCTGCTCGTGGTCTGCGAAAGCGCCGAGGGCGGCGATGGGATGTTTGGTGGTATGATGTTTCTGGTGGAAACGCCAGAGGAAGGGGACTTCGTGCATGAGACGGTGGTACCAGTAGAACCAAAAGTCGACCGCTACGGCGAACATGAATGTGTTGATGGGGAGCATCGCGATGGTCTTCCAGTCCAACAAAGGTTCTTCGGGGTTGTAGAGATAGGGAACTGCAATGACGGATCGAGAAATCACCACCATGAACAACCCGATCGCCACACTGGTAGTGTCGACATCCGGAACTCCATCCCTCTCCTTCTCTCCGTCGAACGTGCCGAACTTCTCCGTCATGCGATTGTTCCAACTGAACACCGAGACGCCGTACACGACAAAGTACGCCAGATACGCCACCGTCGCCACGGAAACGGGAACGACGATGCCGGTGTAGTAGGTGAAAAAGTGATGCACGAGCAAGGGGGCGAATGCCCAGGGAATGATTCGGGCGTGCATCTTGTAGATCGGGTAGACGGGGACCGGCGCACTGTGCGGGTACACGGGCGGTTTCGGTCGCGGTTTGGTGGGATCGTCGGGGGAGGCGACGCCGAGGGTGATGAGGGAGCGTTCGAAGAAGGTCCATTGCGAGGGTGGGCGGGTGTGCCAGGTTGCGGTCATTCGACCTTTGTTAGGTTTGGGCTTGGCAGTGTCTGCCGCAACAGAAGCTGCGGGTGCAGCTGTGGCAGTAGCAGTGGTGGTGGTGGTGGTGGTTGTCGCCATGATGAACAATCTCTCCTCGTTTGGTTTCGAGAGAGATGCTTGGGGGTGGCGGTGGCGAGAGGGAACAAGGACGCAATCCGAGGGGAAAGCTGCGCCCTCTTATATGTCTGTTCAGAACACACCTCCTCGACGAAGCACACTCCGAACCGCCCAATGTGACTGTCGAAAAGCGCTCGCACCCTCTCTCGCTTACCGAGGTGTGGCGGAGTAAGTAGCGTTGCGGCTCCCCACCTTGCCTTTCACCCTTTTTTTTTGGCGCTCTGTTTGACAGCTCTCAGGGTGTATCGCGTGAAATTCCATCAAAAAAGGTCGCCGCTTCTTGATTTTTCGTGCCTGTGTCAGTTACTGCAGTGTGCTACTACTGCGTTGTTCCTTTTTTTATATTTTTACCCCGGATTTGTTTTTGGGTAGGTTCGGCAGGTGTTCGTCGCTTGCTTTTGTCCGCCTTTACACGCTTTCCTCTGAGTTGCGGTTTACGCATCCTCAACGCATGAACGTGTTCGGAGAGATTTTTCCGCTCGTGGCACTTTCGTCCAAATGCCACCTTAACTTCCTCCTCCTCGTGTGTCACAGCAGCCGTGATATTCGCGCCTGTCAGAATCAACATCAGACGTCGCATCCTCCTCGTCTTGTGAATGCTTTCCGAAGCTGTTTGTGTTTCCCACGCTAAAAGGTGGCGATCGTGTACCTCGTAAAGTCGCTTATTCAACATTCCTTCTCCTCTACTTGTCGTCTTGCGTGGATGGGAGGCCAGTCTTTCGCACGAGGTTAGCCAAGTGATAACTTTGCTTCTGTCGTCTCTCACATAGTGGACAATCTGATTCACATCCTGACACGCAAATCCGACAGCTGTCAACACAAGCGTGGCGCCTCGGCAACACGTACAAACCCACACTGTCACTCGCACAACCCTACTTGCCCATGAAAAGCAGATTCCGATTTTCTCATCATCGAATCCTCAAACCCCTCCTCAACCTCTCTGCGATGTAGAAGCTCTGCGCGTTCGCCAGTTCATCCTCCTCCTCCCGTTTGACCTCTTCCAACCCCGGTGTCGCCCTTCCAGACCCGACCGAATTCGCTGACGCAGGAGGAGGAGGGGGAGGTCTCCTCCTACCCCCCGCTTTCCCCACACTTCCCCCCACCACCACCACCGCCGTCGCTGGATCTTCAGTTGCGGGGCTGCTCGATCCCGAATCGGTCGACGAAGTGGACAGCTGCACCGCCGGTTTTCTCTGAGCTGGTGGTTGTGGTGGTTTCCTTCTCTTTGGCGGTTCGCCCGAAGAGCCCTCCTGAGGTCCACCGACGATGGTCGAATCCGACGTCTCGGCAACATGCTGCATCGTCGAATCGTTGCTCAAGGGCGACCCGACCATCCCATCCACCTTCTCATGATGCTTGCCCGATCCGCGAGCAGGTTCCTCCAGCATGTGCGCGTGCCACGAGCTGGATGTCGAACACGTATCGTCCGCATCCCCATCCAGCGCCGGTGACAACTCCGAAACCCTGAGACTCGGCCTGCCTCCGAGGGTGAGCGAAGGCGAGTCGACGCGCGGAGGTGTACACGGTGCCGACTGGGCAGACACGGTGCGTCTGCTGCTAGTGTGTTGAGAAGCATTGATGTGGGGTTTCGCCGTTGCACGACTCAACGAAGCTGCCGAGGTGGGGCGGAGCAGCGTGTTTGCGATGGATTCCGATTGCGGGTGCGAGAGGGACGCCACCCGCTTATCCCTCGTTCGCGTCGTCGACGGCACGCTGAGAGACCCACTCTTCGTCTCTGCAGAATCGATCGGTGAATCCGTTTCTCCAGCGACCGCATCCTCCGTCGTCACAGCCAACGAATTCGCCGTAGCCTGCACACTCCCGCTCCCCTCCTTGATCTTCATCGCCAGCATCGGCAACCCCTCACCCGTCACCCCCGCCTCCATTACCCTCACGCTCGCCTCCCCCCCACCCACCGGTTCCACCTTGGCCACCGTCTCCGTCCCATCCAGCCTATCCAGCTCTACACACCACTCTGCCCTCAAACACCGCTCCACCAACCTGCGTGTCGTCGCTGAGATGTCGTTCAGATGTCCGTGCGACACCAAGCCTTTGAGCAGTCGTCTGATCTGATTCCTCTTGTACGGATATGTGCACAGCTGGGTGTTGGTGAGGAGCGGATGCAGGACTCGAAGGTAGGTGTGTCGCAGGGATTCGCTTTCGTCCGGAAGATCGTGCAGTTCTCGAATAAAGATGTCCACCAACACGCGCAGATCGTTCGTGTAGAAATAGCACGCCGTCTCCTTCGTTGTAAACAACAGGTACAACAGCTTCAGCACGAGCAGCTGCATGCACACGTCTTCGGCATCCGAACTGCTCGCCCTGTTCAGCATGAAGATCAAGTTCTCGCCGAACGTCTTGCTCGCATTCAACCTCTGCTGCAGTACGCTCAGAACCAGATTCACCGGTGCAGTTGCGTGGGAGGCATCGATCTGAGATGACGCCGAGGAGGTGAGGGTGGACACCATGTACTGTTCGTTCATGGCGACGAGGAGTTTGATGAGACGATAGTTGAAGTCTTCGTCGTGGTGATGTCTCGTCTCTTCGACGAGATCGAAGAGGTGGTGGATGAATCGTTCGTCGAAAGCCTTGAGATGCGCAGGTTCAAGCTTCTGGACCCGACACACTTCGTACAGCATACGCACCGCCTTTTGACGAAGGCTGATCTGTACGGCGATGTCCTTGGATGCAGAAGACGCTCCGCTGGTCGATTTCGAGATGGGAGTGGAGAGGGGAGGATCTTGATCCCAGTGTGCGCCGTTCCATCCGACGACGATGTCGGATTGATGATGGTTGTTGTCCGAGATGCCGATCTTTGCTTCTGCTTGCGCTGCATAGCTTCCCGCCCAGATCTGATGCACGAGGCGATGCAAGAACGCACGAACACCAACGAACGATACCGTAGACGCCGAAGCCTGTATCGACTTGTACGTCGATGGGAAAGCGTCTCCGTACTGCAGTACGATCTCGTACGTCATGAGCAGTACGGGAATGCTGGTGGAAGTCTGCATGATGCGGATCGCCTCCTCGGCCGCCAGCTGGTGCATCGCAACATTGCTCGCATCTCCCTCTGCCGCTTCTGACGGGTCGACATCGTCGCGGAACGCCGTCGAGCCGAACAGCCGGTTGATGCAGTAGTCCTGGTTGTACTCGGAGGTGAGATTGTCGTTGAACGATGCGGCGCACAGATGCAGGAACTTGGCGAGGACGCTAGCTACGTAGATCCTTTTGGCATGCAACAGATGTTCAGCTTGATCGACGGTGGTGTAAGACGTAGATGCGTGGGAGCAGGAGGAGTCGAAGGGGGTGTCTAGGATGTCGTCGAGCTCGAGCCAGAACTGTTGTGGATTGTCGAGCGCGGCATAGCCGGCAAAGGGATCCATTCTTACTTGCGCACAGTAGTGAGCGACATCCGAGTACGCAATGCAAGGAGAGCAAGTGTCGATGTCTCGGGTGTGTCGCGATGGTGTTGGTCGACCGGCGATGGTGCCGAGAGCGAGCGTGTGTGTGATATCAACAAGAGAGTCAGATAATCGGATCCCCCGCACTTGTCGCGGGACTGCCTTGATTCGGGCTCATCCGTGATAGTTTTAGCGGCGATACTCACGCAATCCTGAAAATTGGATTTCCACAAAGGCACACACGATCTCACAAATTCCAAGTCAGAGAAAGAGAAGATCCAATGACGCCTTCCCCAGGCTCATGCACGGCTGAGAAAGCAAAGAAAGAGCCGACTCTCGATCTTTGACGCACGGCACACACGCACAGACCGCGTTGGTGCCGCATGGCTTGTGGACCCTGGCTGCCATGTCATGTCAAGATGCACCTGATGATCAGCAACGCTTTCTTCCAAGAGAGTCGGTCACCTGTCAAACCAGCACTACGCCCTGGATTCGACGTCGTTGCTTTGCTAAGGGGGGCTGCAATCGTGTGGTTGTGGATGTTTCTGTGTCCGTGTTCTCGTCTGTGCACGTCGACTTTGCTTCTTTTCTCCCTTCTTCCTCCTACTCCCCATCATCATCATTGAAGAACGTCAGAAGTACCATTCTTGAAGCTGCAGCACAACTCACCACCATCTGAACTTTTTCTCAAGATGAGCGACATCGACGTCCCCGTAGAGTCTCCGCTCACCTCGGCATCCAAGCTGCTGTCGAGCGTCGTCTCGCAACTCTCGACCTCTTCGGCACCGTCCTCCGAGCAACTGCGTCAACTCCAACTCGTCTCGTCGCTGCTGTCTGGCCTGGATCCGTACCTCGACAGCGTCTCCTCCCCCGCACCAGCCGTGCAGCGCCCATTGCTGAAAGCCACGGCGGAACACGACTGGGTCTCTGCCTGGTCACGCAAGCAGACGCTCTTCCAGCTCTCCGCTGCCTGGTCTGCCGGTGCGTACGAGGGCAACTTTGTCGGTCTACTCACCAAGCTCACGCGTGCCAAAAAGGCGCTCGAGATCGGAATGTTCACCGGAACTACGACGGTGTGCATCGCACAGCACCTCCCCGAGGGTGGAAAGGTCACGGCGCTCGAAATCGATCCTTACCTGGACACCTTCACCCGTCCGCTCTTCTCCCAAACCGGCCTCTCCGACAAGATCGACGTCAAAGTCGGAAACGCCGTACACCACCTCCAAGCTATGTCCCAGAACATTCTCTCGGATCAAGAAGCGTACGATATCATCTTCATCGACGCCGACAAACCAGGATATACGACCTACTTCAAGACGATCCTGGAAAAGGGTCTGCTGAAGAAGGACGGACTTCTGGTGGTGGACAACACGCTGTACAAAGGTACACCGTGGACCGAGGGGTTGGTGGAGGAGGAGATGCTGAGCATCGGGAAGGAGAACGCGGATGCGATCAAGGAGTTCAACAAGGTGGTGAGGGAGGATAAGAGGGTCGAGGTGGTGGTGCTGCCGGTGAGGGACGGGGTTAGTTTGATCATGCGCAAGGAATAGGAGAGCACGTTGGACGGTGATGGCACGCAATGCAATGCCGCAGGAGTGGGGTGAAATGGTAGAAATACAAAAAGAAGTTGCTGCGAGGTGGTTGGTTCTGCTGTTACAGTGAGGTGTGGTCTATGTGAAGCTGTCAAAGTGTCTGCGGACGTTGTCGATGCACATCTTGATATCAGGGCCAGACATTGCATCTATCCTACTTTCCAAACTATCATCACCCGGACTCTTGATCAACCTGTAATTCGCCTCACCCTGAACACCATCTGCACTCCTCAAACCCTCGCTGTTCATCAGATCATCAAAGTCCTGCACCCTGATCTCCTCCGTCTCCCTCCGCGTCACAAACCGCACCGCGCTACACCCCTCGATCGTAACCACACTGCCCCTCTTGGTCTCCAACTGCACCACCGTATCCTTCGAAACATGCATTCGGAACTGATGACACGATGCGATGCCCAACACGCTTTGCTGGAGATCGTGCACCATGACGCTGCCTTCGACGTGGGGTAGGAGGACAGCGGAGGAGTGGACGTTGCGGATCTGAACGGCGAGGATGGTGTGCGTGGTTGCGAGGGGGCGCAGGTCGACGATCGAGTGGGAGATGTTGGTCAGATCGAGCGAGATTGGTGTCGATGGAGCCGGTTGTGATGTTGTGGGCTGGGGGATGGGATGCGTGTATCTGGTATCTTGGAGTGTCGAGATGGTGAGATGACTTGATTGTCGAGAGGCTTGCGGCTCATCCGATGAGCTTGCGGTTGCAGCCGTCACCTCCTCCTTGGAAGCAGCTGTTGCACTCGGCGGTGGTATCGGAGCAGATGCGACCGGCTGCTTGCGTTTGAATGCGAACCCACCTCTCTTCTTCCCCTCCCCTTTCCCAACCTGCTTCGCTTCCTCCAGCGCCCTTCTCCTCTGCTCCAGTGCTGCAGACACCTCTTCCAGCCTCCGTTTGTGCACTCCTTGATCGTGACTCGGCAACACACCGCTGTCCACCGCCTGGGTAAGTTCAGCGCTCAGAGAGGCATACTTTGCCAATGCCTGTTGCAGCGAATCTGAGCCGGTTGTGGGAGCTGCAAGTTGCGAGAGGAGCGAATCGGTTGCCGCTCGAAAGTGTGTGTAGAACGCTTGCGCCGACGAAGCGTTGGCAGAGGATGCATTGCCCACAGACGACGTCGATGCCATTTGCGACGAGTGTGTCTGCCTTGGATGTGGTCAGCAAAGGGTTGGCAACGTTGCAGTGAACCGACGTTCGAGACCAACACTTTGTAGCAATACCAAGCTCTGTGACTGGGGGAGAAGCGGATCGGGTGGCCATCGGGAGCGGGGCAGCTGTGACAAAATGGTGCGTTGCGCTTTCATTTTCAAATCAAGCCGTTCGCTTGAGCTGAAGCGAGTCACTTTTCTTCTTCCAATTCCAAATCCCGTCTTGCTCGACCGACGACCACCACCATCATCATCCTCACCCGTGCACAGCCGAGTCGCAAACATGTCTACATTCGGCTCGCACTTCCGCGTCACCACCTACGGCGAGTCCCACTGCGCCTCCGTCGGCTGCATCGTCGACGGCGTGCCCCCCGGCATGGCCCTCGAGCCGCAGGACATCCAAACGCAGCTCTCACGTCGTCGTCCCGGACAGTCCAACCTCACCACTCCACGAGATGAAAAGGATCGAGTCGAGATCCAATCCGGCGTCGAACGCGGTGTCACTCTCGGAACCCCCATCGCCATGCTCGTCCGCAACCAAGATCAGCGTCCGCACGACTACACCGACGACACGCTCGACGCCTACCCACGCCCATCGCACGCCGATTTCACCTACCTCGAAAAGTACAACGTGAAAGCCAGCTCGGGAGGTGGAAGGAGCTCGGCGCGTGAGACCATCGGTCGTGTCGCCGCCGGTGCGCTGGCGGAAAAGTACCTCAAGGAAGCGCACGGCGTCGAGATCGTCGCCTTCGTCTCCAGCGTCGGCAAGGTGCATATCCCTCGCTACCCCGGCGAGCAGCTCGCACAGGACGTCAAGAACGGCGCACCCATCGCCACCGAAACGAAGGACGGTGTACCCGTAGTCGAAGGCAAATCTTTCTACGGCGAGTCCTCAACCGACGGTCCACCCCAGACCAAGGTCGACAACATCATCGACACCTCCAACCTCACCGAAGAGGAAGCCGAAGAACCCCTGTCCAAAGAGTTCCGCCAACTTTTGTCGACCATCACCCGCTCTCAGGTCGATCAGAACGCCATCCGGTGCCCGCACGAGTTGGCCGCCGAACGCATGCGTCAGCGCATCCTGCTCGCCAAGGCGAACAACGACTCCATCGGTGGTACCGTCACGTGCATCATCCGCAACGTCCCCTCCGGGTTGGGCGAACCGTGCTTCGACAAGCTGGAAGCGAAGCTCGCCCATGCCATGCTGTCGATCCCTGCGACCAAAGGCTTCGAGATCGGCTCCGGTTTTCGCGGCACCGAAGTCGCCGGCTCCCGCCACAACGACAAATTCGTCCTGAAACCAGACGGACGTCTCGGCACCATCACGAACTGGTCCGGCGGTATCCAGGGCGGCATCACCAACGGCGAAGACATCTACTTCCGCGTAGGCTTCAAATCCCCCGCTACCATCAGTCAGGACCAAGCCACCGCGAGCTACGACGGCAAGGATGGGACGTTGAATACCAGGGGAAGGCACGATCCGTGCGTGGTGCCGAGAGCGGTGCCGATCGTCGAGGCGATGGCAGCGTTGGTGGTGATGGACGCTGTGCTGGTGCAGAACGGCAGGACGGCGACGGCGCAGAGGTTGAGTAGGGAGCCGGTGGAGGCGCTGCCGAACAGCATGAAGATGCCAAAGAGGAGAAAGGTCGACGAGTGATACTAGCGCAGCAAAAAGCATCGAAGAAGAAACGTTTTGGGCAAGAGGTGCTATGTGTGTGTGTGTGTGGGTGCAAGCTTTGAATGTGACGGAGTCGATGTGTGTACCCTTGAAGTTGTGATTGTGAATTGGAACCAGCTCATGGCGGAAGGGCCGATCTTGTTCGCAAACAGGCACACGGGGAGCGATTCGTTCGACGGCTTTGTTTCATCGACTGCCGGGGTGCCGCTTGCTCTGCGTCGACGACGAGCCACATTCTTCGTCAGCTGGTGCGGATCCTATTCCAGTGTCACGAAACACACCACACGACGTTGTCAGCTTGCCCTTTAGGACGCAGTGAGAAGGGAGGCACCTCACGAGGGTCAGAGCGTCTCGTTGACAAACCGCACACAAACAGGCACACATGATGATTCTTTCTAGATCTGTTCGACTATCTGCGTGATCGCACTCATAGATCTGCCTGTTGCAATCTCGCTCTTCCTCCATCCGTATAACCGGCGTATCATTCCTCCATCTACTTCTTGCGCTCGGCCTCGATCGCAGCCAACGGATCCCACGCCCTGTACAGCTGACACGTCTTCCTCTCCCTCCTGACCAACTTGGGCTCTCCCTCTCCACCCAACACGTCCTTCCTCCATTTCGTCCCACACGCCACCCTATACTGCTCCTCTTCCTCAGGGGCTTCATCCCATTCGTGCAATCCAAGACACTTGGGTACCACCTCCTCACCACTCTTCCCCGTACCATTCACCCCTGCATCGATCAACGTGAACCTCCTGCTCCTTCTCCATCCTTTCACCTTGGCTAGCATGGGAATGTGCTCTTCCGCAAACCATTTGTTGTATTCTTCCTGTGACGCAGAGTCGATCATATCGATGCTGTTTGTAACGATGTATGTCGGGGTGGCTTGTTCGGTTTGAATTGCCAAACCCAACTTTGTTCGGTCGACGGTGATGGTTTCGTCCGAGTCAGAGTCGTACTCCAACCTGTAGATCCTCCTATCCACAATCGCCAGTCTTGTAAACAACTCCGCCTCCCTCTCACTCCTTTCACTCCTTAACGAAGTATAGCTGGAATCCGCAAATACCGAGTTATCCGAAATCGTATAAAAAGCACCCCACGTCGAATCCGGCGCATTGTTCACCCCGGTCGGGGTGAGAGCCGTCGAGGTAACAGCGTACCGCGTAGCAGACCGGAACGTCGTAAACCGCTGGATTCGTAGCGGAACATGTTCCTCATCGTACCACGTGTGAAACTCTGGAAGCGTGACAGCGGCGCCCGGTTCCATAAACACCAGCAGCAACCCCGAGTCGCTCGACTTGAACAGCGGATGTTCTGTCATCGCTGAAGAAATCGCGAATCGAAAAGTGATGCGAGGAAGAGAGAGAGGAAAGGGTGGTGGTGTGTGTCATTTTATGAATAGAGGAGAACCCCCCACACGTTTGGTTGCGAAAAGGAAGGTCCGTCTTTTCCGCTATGACCCGTGCATCCAAGGGAACATCTTTCTACCGCGGGCAGCTTCAGCGCTCGGATCTTCCCGCATCCCTCCTACCGCTGCCTTAACATCCTCACACATACAACTCCCCTCCATCCTCCCTGTCATCCTGATACCCACAGCACAGACCTCATACGATCACTCACACATCTCCTCTGACTGTACATACTCAATGGAAAAACATGGTTTTTGTCTCTCTTTACAAAACTAAGCCTCCTCCTCCTCTTCACGCAGAAACGCCATTCACCTTCCCCTGCTTACCCCGCCCCTCCTTCTCCCTCGCCAGACTCTGCTTCCACCCTTCCTCGAACGCCGCCTCGTCGCTCTCCGGGTTAGCGATGCTCGCGGCGATCTCGTTCTGCTTGTGCCTGTTGGTCGACTGCAGCTCCTCCCTCCACCTGCCCACAATTGCCCCCACCCGGCTGGGCGAGTACGTCCTCGCAAACAGCGCCGCCTCCGACGTCCTCCCCGCCTTCTCCAACACCTCTATGCACGAATCCACATCGCTCAACGACAGGTACGCGGCAAAGGCGACGTTCGTCGAACCTTTCTCCACCGCCAACTGCGCCAATCGCGCCAGCAGCGCGCGGTCGTTCGTCGAAGTAGCCACCAACAGCATCGACGACAGATCCTGCGCCTTCTCGAAACACTCCTTGGCCAGCGTCACGTTCCACCTCGCCAACGCCTTGTCTCCGATGGTGCGCCATCGCGACTCCGACCCAACCTGCGGTCCGCTGCGTGCGATCTCGAGCGCAGTCTCGAAGTTGTCCAGCGAGATCGCCAGGTCAAACCGGTGTTCTGGGTCCGTAGACACCTCCAGCGCCAAATCTTTGAGATCCTGCGTCTCCAAAAATCTAGCGACGCGGTTCCTCTGATCCGACGGCACTTGTTCCAACAGCTCCGCCGCTGCGTCCAGATCCCCCCTCAGAATCGCCGTCTGGTACTCGACCAGCGCGAGCGACAGCGAGTAGCTAAAAATCGACATGTCCTTGTTGACCACGTAGACGCGACCGTGTTGCGGGATGTAGCCGAGCAAGAAGATCTCGTTGTCCGAGTGTGTGATGGTGTGTGTCTGCTCGCCGACCAGGTACTGCAGTCGGTTGGTCGAGTTGGTGTACAGGAAGCACTCGCCCGTCCACTTGGCTGTTCGGACGCCCTCGGTCACCTCGGTCACCACCTCGAACGCGCTCTCGACACCCTCATCCTCCACCTCTGCACCCGAATCGAGGTGCGCAGCATACGCATCGCGATCGAATCGCAAGATGTAAAACGACTCGTCGCACACAATCGCCACCAACTCGCCCGTAGTAGACCAGTGGATAGCCTTGGCCTCGACATCCACCCTACGCACCAACGCACCCGTCTCCCAGTCGTAGAAGCACACAAATCCGCCACCCAGCACTGCCAACAACGCACCTCCAGCCACCGCTTCGACGGTATACGCCAAAGTGAGCAGACCAGGACGCTCCTTGAAGTTGCGGAAGACCTTGACCTTGGAGCCGCCCTCGTGGACGGCGTACGTGTTGCTGTCGCCCGCCCAGGCAAAGCCAAGACCCGAACCGAAAGCCTTGTTCCTCCACGCCAAAGCGGTGTAGATGATGTACTCGCCATCACCGCAGACGGTAACGAATCGACCGTTGGGGCTGTGCTGCAAAAGCTGTGGGTAGACCTCGGTGGTTCCCATCTCGCGCACGGTGACGGGAAGCCTCTGACCATCCGGGACCACTTCTTCCGCGGTGGTTCCTACGTTTGCGCTGAGAACTTCCGAGTTGCGAGCCCAGACCACCTTGCCTGCGGCATCCATGCTGACGCTGGGCTCCTCCTTTCCGAGCTTGATGACCACAGCACCCTCGTCGTAGCCGATGGCGACGTCGTTGCCCGACTTTTTGTAGGCAACGCACCAGACACGTTCGAGGCCGTAGTCGAGGGTGGATTCGAGACGGTAGGTGTTGGAGTGCCACAGCTTGACGGTGCCGTCCTCGGAACCGGAAATGATGAGCGGCAACGAGGGGTGGAAGACGGCGAACGAGACGTTGGAGGTATGGCCGGTGAGCGTTTGGACGCACGATTTGGATAGGTAATCCCAAATCTTGACGGTGCGGTCGTCGCCGACGGTGAGCATGTAGGGCTTGTCGCCGCCGTGGAAGTACTCGACGTAGTTGACACCCTTGTCGTGAGCGTCGAGGGTGTAGTTGGCGACGCTGGAACCGAGGGTCCACACCTTGACGGTGCGATCCAAGGAGGAGGAGGCAAAGGTGTTGGAGTCCTTGGGATTGAAGCAGAGATTCATGATGTAGTGGGTGTGGCCTTCAAAGGTCTGCACGAGACGCCAGTTCTTGTCCCAGTCCCACATCTTGATGGTCATGTCGTCGGAGCCGGTGATGACGTACGAGCCGGTGGGATGCACGGCGAGACAGCGAATGTAGTCCGGATGCGCCTCGAAGCTGATGACCTTTTCGTGTGTGTTGTAGTTGAAGGCGCGAAGCTGGAAGTCATCGGAGCCGGCGACGAACCAGTTCTTGCGGGCAATGAACTTGACACATCGTACGGGCACATTTGTGACCTCAAAGGTCTTGACAATGACGCCGGTCTCGTAATTCCAGATGTTGACCGAGCCCGAGTAGAGACCGGCGAGGAGCCATGGCTCGGTAGGGTGAAAGTCGAGCGACTTGACGCGCTCAGACTTGGCAAACAGCTTGCGCTGGATGTCGAGGAGCATCGGCATGACGGGCAGCTACGAGACGAGGCGAAGCTCCTACTTCTACTCAAAAGAGTCGCAGTGGTAGAAAGTCCGTCGAATGATCAGCAGAGGTGGGAGCTGGTCTACTGCTCTCGTCGACGCACAACGAGCGGCTCGTGGTCGAGTTCGTCCCCGATGCTGAGTTTGCGATAAGGAGAGCGGACGCAGCCGATGGTCGCAGGATGCGCAGCAAGTGATAGGAAGAAGAGCAAAGAGAGCAAAAGGGGTGTGTGACGAGAGGAAAGTGATGCGTTGGAAGAAAGGCTCACTGTGAAGTGTCAGTGTCAGCGTGTGCTTCGGCCAGCCCGAAACACAAGGGGCTCGAGCCATTCATTCCGAATTCAACTGTCAGTACGCGGCGGCGGCGGCGCCTGGGCTGGTGCTGGCGCCTCTCGTGCGTTTCCTCATCAGAAGAGTTACACGTCTCGCAAGCAAATTTAATCCAACCCGGGTGAGGCCTAATTACAAAATTTGAAAGGAGTTGTAATGGTACATTCTCTAAGATCCGTAAAGCATGTTTGTCTAGGAAGGGCTAACAGGTTCTCCAAGCTTTGTTCCTGACGCGCGTCTCAATCCAGCCGAACACTGAGACAAAAAAGAAGGAAGCCATCGTTCGGCGGCGACGGCCGATGATGAGAGATCGGTGCTTGCTCCTTATGCTCGCTGACTCGCTGGCGATGTTGGCTCGCTCGTCGAGATCGCAATTCGCATCGCTGCGATCGGCTGATGCTTAGCTGTCTGTCACGCTCAGTCGAGGGGAGAACGCGTCGCTCGCCTCGCAACACAACTCGGACTCGGCAGCTCGAGCTTGAGCTTGGACAGCATGATTCAGTTACAGAAGTACAGTAACCCCTTCTTCATTGTTTGTTTCTTTGTTTGCTTAGTCGATCGTGTGTCTGTGAATGGCAAGACCCTGAGGTCGCCTGCACATCGCTTAGTCGTACAGCCGTCAAGGTACAACTGTACATGCCCGCTTCCTCCGCTCGATCAATCGAATATTGCAACAAGAAGCCTGATCACGTTGGCGTTATCTTGCGCAGTGCAAAGTGAGGACATTGCGGTAGAAGAGAAGACGACCCCGTCGTTGCTACACTGGAAGAGGAAGCGGCTCGGGGACCGGTGTAAGGTAGCGGAGGATTGAGGATCAGCATTACGACATCATCTTCTGAGACATACTTGTATTTTGGCTGCCCGAAGACGGATGCTTCTGCCAGAGGCAAGTAAATCAGTCAAAGCAACGAAACCTCAGCCGAAAACGGTTTCAGAGATGATTTGTGTGAAGAGAGAGAAAATCGAGTCAAATTGGCACAAGAACGAGAAGAGCAGAGCCCTTCACGCATCGCATTCGGATTCGCCTACAATTATTGGAAGTCTATTCCTATTTGAAGCACGCAGAGCGCGAGAGGAAATCAACACTTATGCGCAGTTTCGAGCCACGAGAAACAAGGAAAGAAAAAGAAGATAAACGATTGTTTTTCTTTTCCTTTTCCGTGCCTGCAGACCAACACTTCGCGCAGCAGACAGAAAGGGTTTGTGTGTGTGTGTGTGTGTGTGTGAGAGGGAGCGAGCGACGTCCAAATCCATCCATCCGTGTTGGGAGCATCGCTCATTCCGTAACAGCTCCTCTGTCTGCTGCTGCCTCGTTACTGTCACACTTTGTCGACTCTCGGACTCAACCGCCGCCGCCGCCGCCGTCGTCGTCGCCTTCGCCCATTCCAGTGTGGCTGTCTCTGCCTGCTTCTCTCTCTCTCTCGCTCTCTTTTACCCCTCGCCCTCTGTCACTTTCGGTCCTCGGATTCTTCGCTCCTTCGCATTCTCTCTCTCTCCCTGTCGTCCCTCTCCCATATCATCGCGCTCTTTCCGACATTGATCTGCCTCTCCGGAACACAGGCTACACCACTTTGTCGTTTGCCTGCGCTTCTTCGGCTCTCTCCACGGTCGCAAACCATCAGCGAACAAGTCGACGGCCCCGCCGACCTCAGCGTATTCGCAGCACCCTTCCTGTCGTCGCCGTCGTCTCTGCAGCACGATCGGTGCGTGACTAGATACTCGAACTGCGAGCGATCACGAGCCGTTCGGATCGGTCCGATCCACAGTCAGCATCATGACTCGCCACGACACTGCTCAGCCATCGTCCTCGTCGATACCGCCCAAATCCCACACCGATCGCGCCGTCACTGCGACCACCGCCAACACAAATGCATCCCAGTCGCAGCCAACGCCTTCGACGCCCCCCACCGCCTCTGCCGACCTTCCGACGCCGCCGACCTCTCACACCGAATTCCGTCCTCCCCCAAATCCGATCGCATCCTCCTCCAGGATCAACACGGATGATCAGCACTCAGACGCCAGTCCCACAACCACCGTATCGGACAACATGGGGCCTCGCAGAGCCGCCGCTCGTCTAAGTGGCGGCAGCACTTCCTTTGATCGCAATGCCGCCGACGACTCGTTCTCTTCGTCGCACCGCAGAGCCAGCAGACGCTCCAGCATCGACCGCAACGACGAACGCACCATGGCAGCAGAACGCCCCATCGATCGCACCTCGTACCGCTCCCGCGCGGCACATTCCCCCTCGCGATCCCCTGCGCGCTCTCCTACACCATCCCCCATCCTTGGTCCAGCCTATGCACTCGACGACCACATCGACGACCACGAAGTCCTCAAACTCGGTCACCTCTCCTTCCCCATGCTCGGCGTTGGCGTCGGCCCCACAAAGCAAGAGATCGAGATGCTCGTCTACGGCTCCTTCTCCACCAGCACCGATTCCGCAGATCTACCCTCGCCCGCCGACGAGTCAGGCAGCCTCGAGTCCATCTTGGGCTCCTTGGCAAACATGGGCTTGGACCATCCCACCGACACCTCTGCCAGCGAAAGAGAGCGCGAGCTCGCCGGCATGGTCAAAATGCTCGCCTCTCGATGCACCACCCTCACAGAATCGCGCGACCGAGCACAGTCTCAATTGAGGTCCACTCGCCTCACCGCTCTGTCCGTCATCTCTTCCATGAAGCAGGCACACGCCCACGCCCTTGCTGCGCATCGCAACGTCACCGATCGACTCGAGGCAGAGCTCGACGGATGGAAGGCTCAAGCAAAGATGCTCAGCGCGCTGCTCAATCGCGCACAGGCTAAAGGCTTCGACGAGAGACGCTCCAACTCCACCTCGGCTCCCGTCGTTACCTTTGCTGACAGGGCCAAGGCTGCAGCTGCTTCGGGCCCTTCGCCCACTAACAACCGCATCTCCTCGTTCAAGGCCGACCCCGCCGGCACCAATGGCGACACCAACCAACGACTTCTTAGTAGTCCAAGCTTCCTTTCTTCCGCCCAGGACAACAAAGCACTTGCATCGCCTGGTACTACAGGCCTTGGCATCTCTAGCTCTGGGCTGGTCGAGCTCGATGCCGACCTCTCGCCAACTGCCTCGCTGATCCGTGAGCGCAACAAGCTCATCACGGATAAGAAGCATCTCAAGGCTCGCGTCAGGGATGCAGAGGCCCAGGTCTTCAAGTTAGAGAGCGAGCTCAAAGCTCTCCGTCCTTACCTCGTATCTGGCGGCATCAAGGCAACTGACCTTCCTGCACCGGTTGCCGACGCCGATGCTCTCGGCAGCCACACCCCAGGCAACCTTAGCCAGCCCGGCACTGCGCCCACCACCCCAAGCCGATCCGGCAGCCGCAGAGACAAGAGCCGAAAGAAGCGCAATGTCACCATGGGCGACGCAGAGACAGAGCACCTCATGCTAGCCGCCCGCCGACTGCGTGAGCTGCGCAAGGAGCAGCAAGCAGCTTCCGACCTCACCGCTTCTGGCTCCTCGGCCGACTCGAGCTCTTTCCCACCCACGCAAGAGAGTGCCAAGCAACCGTCAAATGTCGTGTCGGGCAATCAGGCCCTCGCGCCTGCTGCCGAGCTCCAAGCCAATGCCGTCTCGCATTCTTCGCCTGTCAAGCGGCAGGCTAGCGAGGAGCCGATATCTGCAGACAGAGATGGACCACGTGCATCCGGTCCACGTACGCCGCCTTCTGGATCAGCGGAACGGCCACCCAAGACGCCCAAGTCCATGGCCAGCATTTCCAACACCCCGCGCACCGGTGTTCGAGCTCGAGAGCTCGACGAGCTTGCTCGCGGCGATGATCGTCGCGACAGCTGGTCGGATCGTCACCGCAGGGTTGACTCTGCATCCTCCTTCACGGGCATCGACGAGCTCCTTCAAGCTGCAGAGACGCTCAATCCGGGCGCTGCGGCACCTTCGCCCAACATGCGCTCAGGCAGACCTGCTCCGCATTTCCCTCTTCCAGGCGGGGATCCGACTTACTACGCGAGAGAGCCTCCTCATCGTGGCGCAATGGGCTACCCTCCGCCGCTCTCGGTCGCCACGCAACGCGGTCCAGAGTACGATCCGTACGGCGGCTACGGTGCTGCACCCTATCCGATCCAGTCGAGTCCGCTTCGAATGGCCCACGAAAGCCCCAAGCGCCGACGAGTTTCGTCCGCTGCCTTTGACTTTGAGCCCTACGGCTCCCCGTTCCTCGGCGAGCGCCAGCCTCGTGTTCGTACACAGACCGAGGGAGCCGATCCGTTCCTTCAAGGCCGACCGTACCACGATTATGCTCCGAGCGGACCACCCAGCGCCGGTGGAAGCCAGACCTTGAGTGCACTCGACCTTCTGGCGGACCAGGCCACGGCCAGCCAGAATCCATCGCAAGGAAGCGACAGGTCCGGCGAGTACGAGGGTGTCAGTCCCATCGGCAGCCTCAGCAGCGAGGACGAGATGGTCATGGATAGCGAATCCAGAAGGAAGTCTGGTTCGCGTCTGGCATCCTCTCGAGCGCACGACGGTTCCCGCAGCTCGAAGGCCAACGGCTCGCAGACTTCGTCTCGCAACGGTGAGAGCAAGAGCTTTGGCGGCAATCAGAATCCGGAAAAGAGGCTGCCATACGTTCGATGGACCTCGGAGGAGGACACCAAGCTGCGTGCTGCCATCAAGGAGCACGGCCAACGATGGGAGCTCATCTCACGCGCCGTGGGGACGCGCTCGTACCATCAGTGTCGACAGCGGTACCTGCTGATGCGACGCAAGGAAGCGGCTGCCAAAGCGAACGGCGATGACAACGACGGTGGTCAGGGTCTCTCGGCGTCCGCCTCGGATCAGCAGTCGCAGGAGTCCGACTATGGTCAGGATCCGGTACCTGCCAGCTCGAGCAGTCGCAGGAAGAGTGGCTCACACGCGCGCCGCGCATCTCGCGGGGGAGGCGAGTACAATGACAACGGCCCAACCTCGACTCCTCTCCACAAGCTGTCGATCGGCGCGCCGGCTCCTCCCGGCAGTGTCTACGGTCAGTTCTCTCCGACCCAGCGACAAGAAGCGCTTGCACCGCCTTCGTCGCAGACGCCCACGCACAGCAGGATGATGTCGCATCCGCATGCCGCAGGTCCGTTGTCACCGTCGATGCAGCCGACGTCACCTTACTCGTCGCAGACGCCATCTGCTGTGAGGCGAGGACCGTATCCACCGCCTTCGCCGCTCTCGATGTCATCGAGGCAGCTGCCGCCGTTGCAACCGCCTCCCGGTGCCTACATGTCGCAAGGTCCACCCTCTAGCCCGCTGTCGTCCGGTGGACATCGCCGGCAGTTCTCGGGCGATACGAGACCACCACAGGGAGGCAGTGCACAGCAGGAACCTACAACGCCTACCTCCGGGGCGAGAAGGATGGGAGCTGCTCTCTACAGTTGATCCTCCACCCACCCACGCATAGGACTTGCTTCATCTAATCCCCTGTTCTCAACACCACTTCATCTCAAAACCTATACCTTAACATTCCCTTCTAGTCTTGATCGTAATCGCATGGACCCGCAAGGACATCTCCTTCTAATCTCCCCCTGTTCTGCTCATTCATCTCTTGTAATCCGTCTCACACTCGGATGGATGCAATGACCACACCCCACGTACCATTCACACTTTTTGTTCTGATCTTGTTTGACCACATGGTGAGCTGTCATTTGCTAACTTATGGCACTTTCTCAGACTTCCATGTAGGTCGAGGCTGATTCCAACAACAGCGGTGCCCAGTCCAAATCTCAGCACACCTTTTTGACTTGAGATCAAAACTTGCCAGCCAAGCTCCTCGCCGCTTCCGAAGCCGAGATCCTCGACCTGCCACTAGCAGTGCCCGACGAGCCAGAGTTGAGTGTGCCGAACGGATTTGGTCGCGCACCACCTGCGCTGGGACGATTGAGGAGCATGGACTGCGTCCCGTTGGCACCCGCGTTAAAATTGGAAGCGAACGGATTGTCTCCCACGCGAGAACCCGATTGGGATGCGCTTACATGCATGGATCGGGAGAGGTTGGGCGTGCCAATCGGAGAAGCGCCCGACCATGCATTGGACGAGGTCGGCATGGGCGACCGTAGCTGAGACTGCAGCGGTGGTTGTTGCGGCGTAGGCGAGGAAGTGTGCGGTGTAGACGCTGCGGACGTCGGAGACCTCATCGTTTGGTCAGGTAGCAGCGACGGCGGCCCTGGTTTGCTGGACCCAGTACCGTTGGGTGCAGAGAACTGCGATTCTTCAGGTCTGGACTGAGCTGAAGATGGACGTTCCGCTGACGAGCTCACGTCCGAGTGAACATGAGCAAACGGCGGCCGCGCCGACTCTGTAGCCTGCGTCTGCGCATGCGATGGCCTCTGCGGCGTCTGAAACCTGCTGCCTGAGCTATCCGGTCTCCTTGCACCGTTATCGAGCTCAGCCTTGAGCCCTTTCATCTCCTTCAACAGCTGACGCGAAAACATGACGCTGCCCCTCGCATGCTCCGCCAATGCCTGCTGCAGATCCTGATGCGCATACTTGCTGTGGCTCTGCAAGCTGTTGTGCAGCTCTTGGCTGATCTTTTTGAGATGGAGCGCAAGTGCGTGTTCGTGCCGCTTTGCCTCTTGAAGCTCCTCTAGTGCGTCGTCGACTCGGTCGGCGCGAAGGTTTCGCTGCATTTTGAGATGCTCAGCTTCTCTCTTTTTGTTCACGGTGATCTTTTGGGCGTTGTGGTGTTCCTCGACAAGAGCGTTGCGGGCAAGCATGGTCTCTTTTGCGGCTCTAGCGTTGATGGACTGGTAGGCGACGGCGTCGCCGATGGTCAGCAGCTCGGTGTTGGCTAGCGCATCTTGGAGATCGCCGAGGGTGCGTGCGGTGTAGGCTGTTCGTTTTAGGACGTAGGGCAGACCGAGGCGCAAGGAAGGTGGTCGGATTTCTTCTACAGCACCGAGGTTGTTGAGCTTTACGGACAAGTCGGACAGGGCGACGGTGAGCAAGCGACGCGAGTTGGCGAGCTTTTCGGAAGCTTCAGCAGCATCGGCGAATTGCATTTCGAGACGAGTGACTTCAGCTCTAGCAGCTACGAGGTCCTCGTCATCGTCGTAGACGCTTCTAGACGTGCTGAGGCCTTTGTTGCTGCCGCCGAGACCGAGGATGCTGAAACCACCGCTGGTGGTACGAGATCCAGCGGAGGCAGATGTGGCGAGCACGCCGTTGGGAAGACCGCCGGTGGCATCGACACCGCCATAGGCGACGGAAGCTGCGCTTGCCATGGCGTTTGCGAAACGTTTGCGAGCGGCGGAGGAGCTTCCAGTGCCAGGCGGAGTGGGCGAGTAGGCAAAGTCGGCTTCGATCAAGTTGCGGGTCTCTGGATGGTCTCTGAGCGCAGGCTCTGCAAGGACGCGAGAGAACCATCTGCTGAGCATGAGACGGAGGATGCGGGTATCTTCTAGGCCACTTGCGGTTGTGGATGGCAGCGGCAAAGCGGGCACAATGATGGCGGGACTCGAGAGCGAAAGGGCGAGAGCGAAGAGACAGAGCTCGCGATAGGTTCGGATGACTCCCGGATACGAGGAAGCGCGGAAGTGAGGCAGATTGGTGAGCGCATCGAGGCGCACCAGCAGATCCTTCTTGGCCTTTTCGATCGTCTGGATGCGAACGCGCAAAAAGAGTTCTCTCGGTTTCGAGTGAGGCTCATAGACTCGAGCAGCATCATTCTCGGACCGACCAACCACTTGCCCTTTGCGCTGTTCCAGATTTGGATGCATCCCAGACGCGGATGTGCCGGATGCAAACGTCGAGGACGACGGCTGTTGAGCCTCCGGTGCTGAAGTGGGTGGAGGAGGGACCGGCTTGTCCGAAGAAGAAGATGCGATTCGAGCGGCCATGCCGGGATGAGGGCCATAGGATGGTCCACCGTTGGATGTCTGCTGCTGCTGCTGCTGCGAAGCGGCGTGCGCCGACGGCGATTGTTGAGCTGACATGTTTTCGGCTCAGCTTGAGGAAGGGTCCGATGTGATGGTATGCGCCGGAGACACGGGGTGTACTCGGCGGCTGTCACCTTGGTCGATTGTCTATGACGAGAGCATGTTCCAATGCTTTCGCTCAGGCTGACCGAAGAGGGCTTGGTGGTGGTCAGCGAATGTGATGTCGAGGTCGATCAGGGAGACCGTGATGTATGGTGGAGGAGAGACCCGAATACGGTTGGTGAGCGTGTGACTAACTGCACAGGCCACGCGTGTGTGAGCGCGAGACAGTTCCTGCCGCCACGCCGATAATTGACAAAAAAAACAGGAATCAAGCTCGCTATTGCTCAAAGCACCTTAATGATGCGGGCGGCACTCTCTTTTGGTCTTGAGGTTGCGGCTTTCTCTACTACGCTCCAGACACTCTCTCATCCACGGGTCGCCTTCTTGGCCGCTCAGTTGCTTGGCGTCAATCAGCAACGTGGTGAGAGCAGGCTGTGTAAGATCGTCAAGCTCGAACCAGCTGGTCTAGAGCTGGCAGGAAAGGGTCCAGCAAGTCAGGAACCAAAAGCACCAGCCAGGCCGTCTTTGCGTGCCGGAGCTCGCCGCTGCTCTAATAAACGTGAGTATTCAGATTCAGAGTCTCGATTCGTGCAGTTCTGCAGCCCGTCGCAGCTTCGTCTCGGCGGGTGTGGCCATTTCGCAAGCCGAAATCACCGATTGCCACACTCTCGGATAGTCGATTGTCGAGATCGAGGGTTCTGTTGCCCATTGCCGTGTTTCTTCACACTGCCGCTTCAGTGTGCTCGCGCGTTCTTTGTGAGGATGAAGACGTTCGTCCCGCAGCGCATAGACAGACAGTGTGATTTGTTAGCGCTTGAGGTGACACTTCTTGCCGCCCCATGGTTAGCCAAAAGTCGCGTCTTTGGGCGCGGCTGTCTGTGCATGAGAACGAGCTGGGCAGGCCATGAAGCGGGTTGCTGGACAAAGTCAAGTTCGATTTCATTGAAGGAATTTCCTTCGCGCTTTGTCCACGTTGGGGCAACAAAAGCAGCCTTGACGGGAGGCGGTCCGTCCGACCTGAGCGTTGGCGAATCCCAATCGGCTTCCAAGCCTGCGTCGAGCTGAGCCGACTTTTGTTATTTCTCCCTCTGCGTGCGGGCGGCTCGAGTGTTTGTTTCGAGTCCCGCGACTCCGGCATCATTTACTCGTCGGGTCTTCCGTTGCTTGCTCGCTCGCTCGCTTCCTTCTTGAATGCTCGCAGCATAGCTTTGCTTCTCTGACCATCACACTTTGACCTTCGTCGCTCTCTGCGTCACCTTTGCCTCCTCGATACGGAGACACTGATCATAGTCAGCGGCTTCCATCCTTCATCACCGTCGCTTCGTCCGAGCTCATCGCCATACAAGCGACCGCGCATTTTGGACACACCTCAACTACCGGTCGCTCTATTGTCGGGTCGATCACCTACTCGCTCAGTGTCACGAGGAGCCGTCATCGCGATCCAGCGCCGCTCCCTGCAAACACCATCCGTAGATTTGCGGCGCTTTTCGCTCCTTCCGTGCTTGCCCCTCGACATCTTCTCCGTTCACGTCTAGGTCGGACTAGTCGAAATCTCGTGCCCCGTCTAACCTCCGTAATCATGTCTCAGCCTACTCCTCTCGATCCGGCCATCGTCGCCGTCCTTCGTCCCGCCATCATCCAGATCCTCAACAACGCTGACCTCAGCTCCATCTCCGCCAAGAAGGTTCGCGCACAGCTTGCTCAGCTTCCACCACACGCGCTTCCACCATCCCTCGACCTTTCCGCAAGCAAGAAGCAGGTCGACGAGGTCATCCGCGACTGCTTCGATCACATCTCAAAGGGCATGCCTGCCCCACCTCAAGCTCAGCACTCGTACAACGGCGCCTCCTCCGTACCACCCTCCGGTGGTCTCGCCCTTCCCGGTATGGGCGGCGTAAGAGGCGGTCACACAACTGCTCCCACAAGTACCTCCTCCACTACCTCCAAATCCGCTCCTCCCAAGCCTGCCGCCGCCAAACCCGCTCCATCCTCCAACGGCAGCTCCAAGCCAAAGGCAGAGCCCAAGCCCAAGAAGAAGGCCACAAAGAAGCGTGCCGTCGCCGACGATGACGACGATGACGAGCCCCGCAAGAAGAGGGTCGTCAACCCTAATAACCCTTTCAACAGGCCGCTCATCCTTTCACCCAAACTCGCCGACGTCTGCGGTGGCGACGAGATGCCACGCCACGCCGTGGTCAAGCAGCTATGGGTGTACATCAAGTCAAATAACCTTCAAAACGAGAGCAACAAGCGTCAGGTAGGTTCCTTCACCAGCTTCTGCCGCTCTCACGTACGAAACGCTGCTGACATTTCCGCTCCTTCCGCGTCGCTGATCCTCCCGCATTTGTCAGATTCTGTGCGATGCGAAGCTCACCTCAATCTTCGGCAAGGAATCCGTAGAGTGAGTGCGACCAAATTTCCACCCTGCTGCGCTTTCCGCACCTGTACTAACGCCTCGACTCTTCTTGCTCCTCTCTCGGCATTCCTATTGCAGCTCCTTCGAGATGGCAAAGCTGATCGGTTCGCACCTCACCAAAAAGGATATTCCAAAGGAAGACGCATGACCGCATCATGTGAACCTTTCTTTCTCCGCAGACGGCCCGTACCGGACGAGCCCGTGTCTCATGCTCTTTCGCCGAATCGTCCGCAGCAAATGCAGATCCGATATACTGCAGCTTGAAAATGGCGTTTCAGTTCCGCGTGTACTCCCGCATCAGCAGACTCTCGAATGCTGGCTCGTTCACCTGTACGCATTCCAGAGCTATACTTTGCTCGGCTTTCCTTGTACTTCCAACAAACAAATGGTTGTAGTGCAGCGATATCCTTCTTCACCGTACCACGTTTCTCTTATCAAAATGCGACTGCTGTGCATCACTATTGTCCCGAGGCGAAATCCAAATCCAGATGCAGTTGGGTTGATGAAATGAAGAATGCAGGTACAATTACAAAAATGCAGGACAATGAATCAGATCCGAAGGTTTACGCTGCAACGCAGCCTGTGGATAGCAAACGATCGATCAGGAAGGGTCGAGGCCACGTTACACGGACTCTTTCCACCAGTCGGCCTTTGCTGCCATTCGAGGTTTCAAGCGCACGGTATCCTGAAGTGCGCCTCCGCGCGCCAAACTCAAGATGCTCCTCTTATCGAGTGCGGGTGAAGCAGCATCGACAGCTTGACCGTTGGCGGGAGCCTTCCAAACTTTGTTGGCGCCCGCCGATCGCGAAGCCAGCCTTGCAAAAGCACCTCCACCTGCTTTGCCTTGAGATCGAAGCATCTCGTCCCATTTGGGCTTCTGACTGCGGAAGACGGCCATGGTGGCGCGTGCGTCTTCGACCGAGGAATGCGATTCGCCTTCGAGCTGAATGTCGATGCCAAGGACGAGGTTGGCAAGCTTCTTGAGACTTGGGTACTTGGTCTTTGCTAGATCGCGCAGCGGTTGAAACGTGGCCGTATCGCGGATGAGCGGCTTGGGATGCGAGAGGAGCAACGCTTTGAGGTCGTTCTGGATGGCATGTCCGACCAGCACCTTGCCTTTGATCAGGTTGGCCACCTCGCCCTGAACTTCGCTGAACGAAGGAGCGCCTTTGAGATCCTTGGGTCTGACGCCGGATACCCAAGTTCGATAGTCGGTCACTTTCTCTTGTGGCCGGACGAAGCGATCGTAGATGGTCGCGCCGTGGAAGTTTACGATGGAGACACGTGCAAGGATGGACTCGGAGCCCTTGTCGCCCACGCCGACCATCTCGCAATCAATGGCGAGATAGTTGCCCGGCTCCTTCTTGGCTGGATTGGCATCGGATGGCAAACCACCGAGAATGATCTGCTTTTTGAGCTTAGCGTCCACGATACCTTCCCACTCTCCGCTACGTGCCATCTTATCGGAAGCACTCTGGCGAACGAGCTCCAAATCTTGCGGAGAGATGTCTTCGGCAAACCATGGCAAGGAAGTAGGAGCGGGACTGGATGATTTGCTGCCTGCTGAGTCATTCTCTCGGAGATCGGGTTTGGATCGCTTCGGCTTGCTGGATGAAGTGGAGGCCTTTCTACGCGCTGTGGAAGACGTCGTGGCGGAGGTGGAAGCGTCCGAGCCGAGCGACTTCTTGAGCGCTTTCCAATTGCTACCTGCGCTCGCAGAGCTGGTACTAGCGGGTCGCTTCATGTTGGCCGATGCAAGCTTGAACCAGGCGACGGACTGCAAAGTGAGTGCGAATTGGATTGTGAAAGGCGTGTATGCGGCGAAGAGTGAGGTGGTTGTGAGGGCCGAAGCTGCTTTGATGGTTGCAAAGGTTGTTGTGAGATGCTCAAAGAGCGAAATGGATGGTCTGCTATACGACGGGATTCGTAGTGGCCATCGCGGGCTCAGAGCTCGTAGCAGATTTGTGAAGATGATGGTCAAGCCTCGACCGACACCAGGCGGCCGTGCTTAGGTGGAAGGCTGACGCCAGGGGCGACAAAAGACACTCTGCGCTGATTCGATCGGCTCGAGACGGTCTCCTCAGTGAGAATGACGGTATAAGCGATGATGAAGAAGGAAGGGAAGATGGTGACAGGGATGGTGGCGGGGTCTGTAACGAAAGAATTGACGCGAGGCTGGCTGTGTGATATTGTGGAGTTTGGGAGGAAAAAAAGTGAGTTTGGGGGCAGGCTGAAGCTGTAGCTGCAAAAACTTGGAGACCCTGAAAGCCTCAAATTTCCATTTCTTTGTTTGCTTGCTTGCTCGAAAAGTCATGCTTACATATTTCACATTTCATTTTCCCTTCCATAGCCGTTGCTGCGTTCCTGCATCCTCCGACCGCGTCTTCCGAGTCGCGACGTCGACGTCGGGTTCGTTCCGACACTCTTGTGCGCTTACCGATTGATCGCGTTGCCTCCATTAAGTCACACTTGCCCGTAGCTTCATCACAGCCATGCAAGCGGTCTTTCCGACTGTGCGTATCACTGCACGCGGTGCTGCTCCGGCCAGCAGCCTCGCTCGTCGATCACTTGGCGCTCACTTGCATTCGGCGAGTAAGCCGAAAGTGTTGCTTCTCGACCAAATCAAGCTCGCTACTACAGAACTCAACCAGCTGTCCAAGGTAGCTACCGTCGTCGACTCGACCGCAACGTCACGACAAGAGCTCATCGACATGTTTCAAGTCGGTGGCGAGTATGCACAAGTGGTAGGCATCTACCGTCATTTCGGCGGTGCGCGCTCCATCAAAGTCACAGGTCGCTTCGACCACGAGCTTGTCTCTCAACTCCCTCCCACACTACGCTACATCGTTCACAATGGCGCAGGCTACGACCAGCTTGACGTACAGGCCCTGTCCGACAAGGGCATTCAGGCATCCAACGTTCCCAGCGCCGTCGACGATGCCACTTCGGATGTCGCACTCTACCTTCTCCTCGGCGCGTTGAGACGTTTCCCTCGAGCAAAGGCGGAAATGAACAATGGCAAATTCAACTCTGCCTTCTCTTTCCTTGATGCGAGAGATCCGCGAGGCAAGACCCTCGGCATCGTCGGCGCAGGTGGTATCGGCAGAGCATTTGCACACAAGGCATCGCACGCCCTAGGCATGAAGGTCCTCTACCACAACCGCAATCGGCTTGCCCACGCCGTCGAATCGCACGCAGCAAAGGGTGGCATGCAGTACGTCAGCACTCTCGAAGAGCTCCTTCAACAATCTGATGTCGTCTCTCTACACTGCCCTCTCACGCCCGCCACAAAGGGCCTCATCGGTAAGCAACAGTTGCAAACCATGAAGAAGGACGCTATCCTCATCAACACAGCGCGAGGGCCCGTCGTCAAAGAGCAAGAACTTGCAGAGGCTCTCGAACAAGGCACCATTGCAGGAGCTGGTCTCGATGTCTTTGAGGCTGAGGTATGTATCCGCCAAGACCTCCATCCCGCATGCGCTCCTGCCAATTTGCTGACCACGTCCCACCATTCTGATTCTTCCGCTTGCATTGTCCCACAGCCAAAGATACACGAACGTCTCTTTGCTCTCAAGGATTCCAAAGTCGAGTTGCTCCCTCACCTAGGAACCTTGACCTTGGAGACACAAACAGAGATGGAAGCCGTCTGCTTGCGAAATCTTATGCAAGGGCTCGAGACCGGCAATCTCGGCTTCACCGTTCCTGAACAGAAAGGTGTCTCGTTCGGCTAAAGCCTTGTCGTGGCTGCCCAAATACCCATCACATGCAGACATGTCTCTATCAGTCCGTGAAATAGAATGCTGCGCCCAACCTTCTTTCCTTAGATTCTTCTCCAAGTCGTCAGCAGGATGATGTCTGAGATCCATCGCCCTTTTCGTCTCGGTAAAATCACGTTGAAATTCGCGCTCACGCCAAACAGCGCCGACTAGATCCAAAAAAAGTGATATGACACATTCAATCGTATTCGTATATGTAGTCGTCTTCTACTCCCCTCGCCGCCCAGCGTTCGGCGTTCATCACCATGCGGTCTTCCATCTCGGCACATCCCAGATCGAGAAGCATGTGATAAACAGACATCTTATCGTACTTCGGCGGCACATGCAAACCCCAGCCTCGGTCGTGCATGCCCGGACATTGACCTGGTCTGCTTGCTCTACAAGTGAACAGCATTCGTCGCTGAAACGTACCTGATCGCTTGGCATCGCTCCATTGTGTTCTGCCATCACACATTCTCCTTTCTTCTCTGCCACCAACAACACATCGCCGGATCAGGATATCAGCTGCGCTTGCAGCCGCTCCGTCTTGTCGCAAGCCGAGATTTGGCTGGGTCTTTTGTCAAGACTTGTGATTGCAGCCGCAATCGATACCACTTGCAGCGGGAGCACATATATCGGCCAACAGCGGCTTTTGGGCATCGCTACATCTTCATTCTGTTTGTCCGAAGCTAGATCATGCGTCTCCTTGATCACCAACAATTTGGTTCGAGCCGCTTTTGGAGAAGTACCAACCTAGGATGCTACTTGCTGCTCTTGCTCCTTACCACGCTTTTGGCCGATAAGGTTCGAGCTCAAGCTCAGGTGCAGCCTGCTCTCGTCGGTCGCAACATTGATGCTGTCAATAGGGCGGCTTCCGAGTCCTTCCAACAAGACATCGACGGGCCCAATTCTGAGCCAACGTCGCCTTCGACACATCCTCCACTTTCACGAACACCCAAACGCGATGCATTTCCCAACGTCGAGCTTGACCTTACTCCCTCATCATTTGCCAATCAAGAAGGTTTGGTCGCCGATCAGCGCATCCTCCCAAACGTGCTTAGAGTCACAGCCAGTGGTCTCACCGGCGTCGCTGAGGCAGGTCAGAGCCTCTTTGACGGCATCGCACAAGTCCTCCAGCAGAGTCAGCTTGCTTGGGCAAATTTCGAGAACGCTGCCAACCTCACCCGACTCGTCCAGGATTCCCTGGCAAATCGACCTGGAGGCTCTGTGTTTTCCTCTCCCCTGTCGCTCAGCATCAATAGCACCATGCAGTCCGATTCCGAAACTGATGCGAATCGAGCCCTTGCCCAAGCTTCAACTGGTAACGGTACATTTTGGCTCGAGCTCGTCGACCACAACGGTTCGGCCACCTACAATCCCAACCCCTCTTCGTATCCGGTCTTTCGCAATGTCAAGGACTTCGGCGCCAAGGGAGATGGCACCACCGATGACACCGCAGCCATCAATCAGGCCATCAGTCAAGGTGGCCGCTGCGGTCAAGGCTGCGGCAGCTCCACCATTTCGCCCGCTCTGGTATATTTCCCACCGGGCACCTATCTGGTTTCCTCACCCATCATCTCCTACTACTACACACAGCTGGTCGGCAGCGCGACCGATCGACCCACGTTGCTGGCTGCTTCCTCCTTTCAGGGCATCGCCGTCATCGATGAAGACCCCTACGCCTCTGATGGATCTAACTGGTATATCAATCAGAACAACTTCTTCCGCGCCGTTTACAATTTCAAGATCGACTTGACGCAGATGCCAGCGACATCGGGCACCGGTATCCACCACCAGGTGAGCCAGGCTACGAGCCTCTTCAATGTTCACTTCGAAATGCGTCAAGATGAGCAAAACGGGCAGCAGGGCATCTTTATGGAGAACGGCAGCGGTGGCTTCATGACAGATCTCACCTTCCGAGGTGGCCGATACGGCGCTTTCCTTGGCAATCAGCAGTTCACGGTTCGCAACAGCTCCTTTGAGAACTGCCAAACCGCTATATCGCAAGCTTGGAATTGGGGCTGGTCTTATCACGACATTCGCATCTCCAACTCCACACTCGGCCTGGAGATGCGCACTAGCCCGAATCCGGAATCGGGAAGTCAAGGCGCCGCGTCCATCTTGGCGTACGACTGGAGCTTGAACAATGTCGAGACCGCCTTCAACATTACGACTCCAGGCTCGGGCACTTTGATTCTGGACAACATCTCGATTGATAATGTTGGCAGTGTTGTCAATGCCGGCCCAGACTCGGTCCTGCTCGCTGGCTCCGATCAGTCCTCTGTTATCGAGAGTTGGGTGCAGGGCTCTCTCGTGCAGAACAAGCAGCAAACGCAAACTGTACAGGGATCTTCACGGATCAACATTGCGAGACCGCCCTGCCTGATCAAGCAGAACAAACCTTCGACGCCTTGGTTCAGCCGCAGCAGACCTCAGTACGAATGGGCGGGGCCGTCAGACATTGTCAACATCAAGGAGCTCGGGTGCGTTGGAGACGGTACGACTGACGACTCGCAAGCCCTTCAGCAGATATTGGACGACAACGCTGGCGACAAGATCGTCTATGTGCCACATGGAACGTACTACCTCGAATCGACCGTCACATTTCCACCGGGCACAAGAATGGTCGGAGAGGTGTGGCCTGTCCTGATGGGTGGCGGTTCTCTCTTTCAAGACGCCTCAAATCCTCAGCCTGTTGTGCGAGTCGGAGAGCCAGGTGACGCGGGCATCATGGAGATCTCTGACATGATTTTTTCTACGAGAGGACCTGCGCCGGGTGCCGTCATAGTCGAGTGGAACATCCGAGAACAAGAGGACTCGCAGGGCTCGGCTGCCATTTGGGACAGCCACGTCCGGGTCGGAGGCTTTTCGGGCACCAACCTCGAGGCCGACAAATGCGCCCGCGAGCAACCTTTGAGCAATGACTGCCGTGCCAGCTTCCTCAACCTTCACTTGACGCCCAACTCGAGCGCTTACATGGAGAATACGTGGATGTGGACAGCAGACCATGACCTCGATTTCGGGGATCGCGCTCAGGTCAATCTTCTCTCAGGACGCGGCGTCCTCATCGAATCGGCCCAGGGTCCAGTATGGATGTACGGCGGCGCCTCGGAGCATTCGGTACTCTATCAGTACAACATCGTTGACGCTAGCAACGTCTTTATCTCCTTGGCGCAAACCGAGACCGCATACTTCCAGGGCAAGGGCCGAGCAGTCGCCAGTGCAGAAGAATCGCTCTCCATTGAGACATACCACGATCCCAACTTCAACCTCTCGTCCACCCAGTCGTCAGAGTTACCCTTCCAGGATCCGAGCGATCCTTATGAGAATCGTGGTCTCGGGATGAGGATCGCCAACAGCACCAATGTCTTTGTCTATGGTGCAGGCTTCTATTCCTTCTTCGACAACTACGATCAGAGCCAAGTCTCGGCGCGACGATCGCAGAAGAGGATCCTCTGGCTTCAAGATTTGAATGACGACGGCAACGTGTGGGTTCTCAACCTCAACACGGTCGGCGTCGAAAAGATGGTCACCGTCGACGGTCAAGACGTCGTCGACGAGGGACCGCTTCGCAATGGCTTTGGTAACACTCTAGCTGCTTGGGCGGTATCTTTTTGACATTCGACGTTTGAACATGTGGGTCAATGCCATCTCAATCACACGGTCTTGTCTCTCCTCTCTCTGACCGTTTGCGCGTGTGTGCGTGTGATGCATGGCTTCGTAGAGGTTCGACACCCGACCCCATCTTCTCCGAGTGGTGCCGCTGAGGAGTCTCGCGTGTACTCTCCTAATGTGCTTGCTGCAGCTATGGTAGGATGTCGTCCACGAGGCCAGTGCCGAATCTCACAAACACCGCGTATCAAGATGCTCTCAGCTTACCCGATCGTTTGACGGACGTTCGGCCACGTCGAAATTTGGCATTCGTCGGCCGCAAAGAAGCGCGACGTCAAATGTTTTTTTGGACAACAATTACCGAAGAAAACCTTGTCCGATGTTGTTAGCCTGAACGCAGGGGCGACAAAAAAAATCTCTGTTTACACCAGTCAAACAAAAAGCTTGACTTGAGGCAAAGCGTAAGCGTCGATCAACAGTTCAAAATAGATTTCGTGAATCGTCCGGTTGCACTTATACTAGCTATGTCGATTTCTGACTCTAATTACTGTGGCCAAAATTGTCACTCTTCAACACCCAACAGCGTCGCTCCAGAAGGGACCATGAGCATTTGAGGAGATATTGTCGGCCCTCGCCTTACGGTAAGGTGACTTTGGGACCAATTTGTCGACAGAAGGCTGTTTTCTCTTTTTTGGAATAGAATGAAAACCATGAAACCCATTGAATTTCATTCGGGGATTCTCCATCAATGACAATCCACCGCAATCGCTGAGATGACAAAATGACTCGTAACAGGTTTGGAAATGTGCTGACGAAAGTCACGTTTTCCAGGATCAAATTCTAAAATTAGTTTATACATTGAGCATTTGGCTACAAAATATTTTGCACCCCCGTCGCGACGCTGGACTGACCAAAATTGACCCCTAATGCTCTGAGCGCAATGCTCCTCATAAGTTTTTTCTTTTATGAAGTGGCTAGTCAGCCTCTGACGTGTGACAGAAGCATCTCGTTGACAAATACAATAATCTCACTTTCGGTGAACACATGGACTTGATTACTTTCGTGCTCAAGAGCCCACTTACATTCTGCCCACTCAACTACACTAGCTTCTTGAAACGAAAGAAAAGAAGTCGCTGCTCCGAGCAGGGTCGCAGAAACGTGTTTTCAGTCATCTATTGATATTGAGATCAGCTTCTATATTACTGTACATATGCTTATACGTCGTTCGTTGATCTCAGAGCGCGATCTTGTGCACATTGACATTCTAGGCCATGGATTTCTCGAGAAACAGAACAAATTTGTTATTAATTGGACGGGTCGAATGAAAAAACAGAGAGAACGCGAATCGCACAACTGAGCAACGGAGCGTGTCGCCGACCGTCAGAGGCTCGTTGAAACTTGGTACGGAAGAAGTGATGTCACTCGATCCTTAGCGACGCTGGTGCGTTCTTTCGGAAGCCGTTCCGTCTGGTGAGTGACGATGATGCAGTGGGGTCGCACTGATCTCTGGCCTAGTCGAGACACTGATAGAGGGGCTTCGGCTGCTGTTCCATCTCGGAGTCGGTTGAGTCTGCCTTCTCCTCGGCGATGGCGGCTTCGCTGCGGGGTCGTCAAGGCACATGAGTGACACAAGATCTCACGTGGCAGTCGAAGAGCGATCTGGGCTCTTCCTCAGCTAAACGAGACGACGGCGCAAAGCACCGTGCAGCAAATGATCCGGACTGGAACTGCGGGCGGACTTCTTAGCAAAGCCTCAAAGTGTAACTTGGAGAGACGCGTGCACGGTTGTCGCAAGGAAGAATTGGCAACTGCACGTCACATGTCCGCGGCTGCCTCCACGCGGATTTCCCGAAAATGAACAGCAGCTGCACAGTCAGCCAGCTCCACTGTTCGCTGTAGCCAAAATCGCGTTCGGGATCGAAGGCTCTGCCGAGTCGACCTGCTTCACGACCATCACACCTTCATGAACACATTGCATCCTCGCAGCTTTCGAAGCACAGCGCCAGCTGATATCTCTCACTTTCACCTAGTCTCAATATACTTGAGGAAGAAATTGCGCACAGACGTCGATCGCAACAAACGAGGCAGCCTCATCACCTCGAGCTGCTAGGATTCGACAACAGCCATGTCTGCGCGCGAAAAGTGGGTCATTCTCATCCCGACCGAGCCGGCGTGACCGCTACTGACAAACGATTTGGGCTCTATGTTATGGTGTTGCAACAGGAGATCAGTGGACGCCGAATCCGCGCCCGTCACAGTCGCTGACGGTGCTCATACCAATGGTGTAAGTTGCGCGTGGGGTAGTGCGAGGTGACCTGTACGGAGCGGGAGCTGACACGTACACTGGCTATTTCCATGCTAATGATGTGCAGGTGCTGAACCAGCACCCAAAGGTTACTTCTTCGGCAGAGCCCGGCGCGGCCGCCAAAGGCACCGCAGGCGGACCCACTGCAGAACTTCCCTTTCGTGTAGGGATCTCAGAGGACTCGAATAAACGATGGCGGAGAGCCATGGAAGATTCGCATGCTTTCGTCTACGACTATGGGGGTGTGCACGGCCAAGGCTTCTTCGGAATCTTTGATGGACATGCAGGCAAGGACGCTGCCGAGTGGTGCGGTCAGAACTTCCATAAGGTATGTTGAACGGATCGAAGGTGCTGCACCACTTTTTACGACTCACGGAACGCTGACGCGTCTTCTTGCCTTCTCATGCGGCGCCCAAATAGTATCTGCTCAAAACACTCGAACTCAACCAAGACAAACCCGTCCCCGATTCCCTCAACTTGACATTCCACAGCGTGGATAAGGAGCTCGAGAATATCGCAAGCCAGCAGGGATCGTCCAGCGGATGCACGGCTGCCGTTGCGTTCCTGAGATTGGAAGATGCGTCCGGACGCCCCCTCAAAGCAGGCGAAGAACCCAGCACCGAACCGGACAGCAAACCGGACAAGGATGCAGCGTATCAAGCGCAACCGAGTGGGCGAACGTCTGGTGATGGTATTTGGGGCAAGCTGTCGAAGCGATTCGATTCGTCAGATAGCAATAGCAAAGGCAGCCAGTCCACTTCAACGCGAAGGGTTCTGTACACTGCAAACGTCGGAGACGCAAGAGCCGTCCTCTGGTAAGTAGGAAGGATCCAGTGCGAATTCTTTCGACATGTCAGAACAAGCCCATCGCTAAGCCTCCGTGTAACACTTCACCTCCTCTCATTCGACAGCCGCGGCGGAAAAGCAGTCCGTCTCACTTATGACCACAAAGGCTCGGACGCACAGGAAGCGAAGCGCATCACTGACGCCGGGGGCTTCGTGATGAATGCTCGCGTAAACGGCGTCCTTGCGGTCACAAGATCCCTGGGCGACTCAGCGATGAAAGAATTCGTCGTCGGGTCCCCTTACACAACAGAAACGGTCCTCGGCAACGAAGACAGCTTCCTCATAATTGCCTGCGACGGGGTGAGTACGCCAGATGCTTGTTCGCTTGTCGATACGCAGGATTCACTGACACTTTTGCTACACTTTTCAATGCAGCTGTGGGATGTGATCGAGGATCAGGAAGCAGTCGACTTGGTTCGAGACGTGCACGATCCGCAAGTCGCTTCGCAAGAGCTCTTGAAGCACGCTCTCAAGGAGTTCAGCACCGACAACACTTCGGTCATGGTGGTTCGCTTTGCTCCGCCATCGTGATGATGTACAACATGTCTTTACCCCGACAGCTTTGCAGACAGACGCTGAGCTATCGTTTGACGTGCGAGTTGAGCGACGACTCGGCCTGCATAGAGACCAGTGGTGACAGCGTCGTGGGAACAAAAACTTAGCGCGATGAGCCTCAGAGACGTGCTGGACCATGAAGGTCTTGTCCGATTCTCACCGCCGCATACGAAGCGACAAATCCAATCCGGAAATGTGGAATGACGAAGTTGAAAAATACATGAACAGATCGAATGAATGTGTGTGTGACGACCGACAGACACGAACACTAGAGGTCGACAAAAGGTCCGGAAGAGGAAGCGCATGACGACCGAACCACGAGCTTTGATGGCGAGCGGAGCGAAGTGGACGCGTGAGGAACAACTACAACATTACAAGAAACAGAAAGACGTGGTATAGACAGCCCCGAGAAACAGCTTGGCCGATCCAAATAGGCACGAGGCCGCTTACAAATGACATACACTGCACGCAGCGCACGAAAGCCCCGAGATGCGATGGTTCGTCCGTCTCCAGACTTGGGCGCGCGGGTCAGAACAGATGCGGAGGGGCCGGTTCAGGATTCGAGACCGTTGCTGCTCTCGTATTCGCGGCGCAAGCGCTCGTAGCGGGCCTTGTCGGCCTCGGCGCGGTCCAAGTAAGGCTGCTTCTCGGTCTCGCTGAGACTTCGCCACTTGGCGGCAGCAAGGACACTCTGCTTCGTGGTTTCTTGCTCACCCTCAAAGACAGCCTGCGTCATGTTGGGATCGGCGCGGATGGCTCGGAGGAACAAGAAGTAGGCGGAGAGCGGCTTCTTGGGAGCGTTGGGGTCCTTGAGATTGCCCTTTCTCGATTTGCCGGCCTTCCTCTGAGCGGATCGATAGAGATTCTCCTGGCGGATGTCTTCGGGCGTGAGCTTGGCCTTCCAATCAGCCATCTCCTGCTCCCATGCCTCCTTCGCCTCGAGACTGCGCTGGTGGAACTCCTGCTTCTTGGACTCGGGAAGAGCGGCATAACGCTGACCGGCGTCCTTGGCAACGTGCGCAACATTGAGACGCTCGTCGGGGCTTTGCGCCTTGATCTTTTGGAGTTCCTCGGTGAAGAAGATCTGCCACGCGGAGGGCGCCTGCTTAGGCGGCTTGAGACGCGATTTGAGCGTCGAGGGCTTGGGGGGGTCCTCGCTCTTCTTCGGCTTCTTGGCTGGCTTCGCCTCGGCGACAGGCTCGGGCTGGGCGTATGGATGCGCCTTAGACTTGGCCTTGGGCGCGTCGGCGCTAGCTCCCTTCTTGCCAGCCTTGCCCTTGGTTGCAGGAGCAGCCTTTGCGGGCGCAGCGGCGGCGGCGGCAGCAGCAGCAGCAGCGGCGGCGGCAGCCTTCTTGTCAACCTTGGGGGCTTTGGGGGCTTTGGGAGCCTTTGCGTTCTTGCCGCCCTTTGTGCTAGCCTGAGCCGCGGCGGCGGGAGCAGCAGCGGCGCCGGCCGAGGGAGGAGCGCCAGCCTGGCTGGGCGAGATGCTCTGCAGGTTCTGAGGCTGGAAGTACTGGTGGTAGTGCGACTGCTGGCCGAAGCCGTGGTTGCCAAAATCACCGGAAGAGCCTCCGCCGGGGGCACCCATCATGGGGTTAGAGCCGGCGCCACCAACCATACCGCCCATTCCGCCGTGAGCGGCCTGTCCTGGGACGTGAGAGTAGTGTTGCTGCGGCGATGAGTGGTGAACACCATAGCCATACATGGACATGGGGCCTGTGTTCTGTCCGCCCGAGAGGTGAGCGTGCGAAGGGTTGGGCGAGTGCTGAGGATACGACAGCTGGGATGGCATGGCGTGCGATTGGCCGTAACCGTAGGCGTGGTGGCCCATGTTGCCGTGACCGCCATTGCTCTGGCCGGCGCCAAGAGGCGGGAGCTGCATGCCTCCGTAATGGGACTGCTGGTTGCCGCCGTCCATACCGATGTTGCGCGAGTGCTGTAAAAGGTTCGGAAAAGGAGGGAGAGGGGTTCAATCGTGGTCAGCGGACTGCTAAACAAGACGGAAGAAAGACGCGACGCGACGCGCCTGGAGAGGGAGACGAGGGCTGCATCATCATCCGTACCATAGCTGCTGGGTTGAAGTATTGGCTTCCTGAAACGTCGTCGGAGGCTGCGTGACCGTGATGATGATGACTACTGTGGTGGCCAAGTGCGTCAGAAGGTTGCATTCTTCGGGCCTGAGCTTGAGCGGCCGCTTCTTGCGGCGATACGAGGTGCTGCGAGTCCATGGAAATACAGCACGTCAGGAAACAAGGTCTCTTCGCGAAGCGTCGCGTATCACTTCAAGGCGCCTCTGCGATGGCGAACAGGGGCAGGGGAGCAGGTGGGATGACACGGCGGGAACAATGCATGCACGGAACGCGACAACGACGTCAAAGAGAGACGGACCAGATGAATGGCGCTAATGGCTGTCAGCACATGAGCCGAAGGCGCGTCGGTAGATGGCGTAGGCAACGCGTCTAGGGAGGTCGACTTACACGCGTCTGAGGTGAAAGGTGGGCGACGTCGGCGCGACAGCGACAAGGGGGGCAGATGCCTCTGAAGAAAGATGAAGGGGGGAGCCAAACGGGGTAAACACGAGCCAAGTCAGAGGACGAGGTCGAGAAAGGCGCAGATATGAAGAAAAAGAGATGGAGCCAATCGAAACAAAGTATCGAAGGCCAAGACCGGGGATGAAGAGGGGATGAAGGCAGAAGAGAGAGTGGAGGAGCGAGCAGAGCGGATGGATGCACGTCGTGGCGGGAAGTGGCGATTTAGTGGGTGGCAGTAACGCGACACCGCTTGTGAGCCAGGCAGAGAGGGAGAGGCGCCCAGCCAGGCTGCGATGGGCAGATGGAAAAACCGGGACGCGACGAGGGGTGGAGCGGCGCAGGAGCAGTGTAGAACTGGAGCCAGTGTTTTGGCTTGTGGCTCTAGCGCGGCGAAATAGCGCGACAAGAAAAATGCCGGCTTGATCGCAGACTCGCAAAATGCCGTGCCGAGCGAGCAAAGAGTTGTGCGGAACGGGCCACAGAGTGTTAGATCAGGAAACGTGGGTGGCGAAGGTCTCGTCACGACTGAGCCATCCGAAAGCGATCCATCTACAAATGATGCTTCGCAAGCCAGCTGCGAAGCGTGTCCATCGAAACGGACGGGACGACGATCCGGGACCAAACCCCGGTCCGGGTGTTGATCTACCAAACAGTCTCGGACATAGGCGGCCTGGCTTCTAGAAGATGGCGCTGGGGAGAGATGAAGTGCGGCCGGAGGGTTGCAGGCAAGGTTCGACTGCTGTCAGGCCGCCGACGAGGGCAACGCTGATCGCAGGGGAGCAACTGCCGCCAGCTGTCAAGCAGCTGTTGTGCACAGATGAGCAGCTCTCGACACCAGCACTTCGGTACACTGTAGCCGCAGAAAGGGCAACAGCCGAAGTGAAGGGCGTTACGACAAAGTGCAGCAGGGCCACATGGCAGGCCCAGGTGCAAGGAGGGTAACGACGGGGGGACAGATGAAGGCACAGAGAGCTAGAAGCCACGACGATCTATGAAACTGGAACAATGCAGCGAAGCGGCGGACTGCATAGGCAGTGGAAAGTCACCCGCCCACAAGCCAGGCTCGGGAAGAGGCAGAAGGGACACGACTGACAGTGGCGAGGGGAGGGAGAGGGGGAGCACGAGGCGACTTACCGACGACGGAGAGATACGATGAAGAGGCTTTTGGTGGGTCGAGATGCTCTCGAGCTGTGTGTGCGTGTGTGTGCGTATGTGTGTGATTGTAGAAGGGGAAGAGGGCTAAAGGGGACGAGGAGGAGCTACAGTGTAATTCACAGATGTGCGTGCGTGATGGGGAACAGAGGCAGGATGCAAGCGTCGAGCACCTCGACTATGTGTGGGAAAGCAACGAGGCTAGATGAGGGGCAAAGTGCAATGGTGCAGCGAATCAACGGTGCCACCAAGATGGAGAGCCAAAATGGATGAAGTTTCCAAAGCCGCGAGGCCGGCAGCAACAGCCACAGCGAGATGATGCAGTCAAGGCGGCCCAGCCACGAGTGTCGAGAGCAGCCGACGAGCCAACGCGGCAGAGCCAAGCCGAAGGCGCACTCACAGTGTGCCCAGTACAGCGGCGCTGTATGAGTTTCAAATAAAGAGTTTCAAAAAACAAGGGGCCGATGGTGACTGTGACTTTGGCTGGAGACCGACGATCAGACGCGAGGAATTCGGTGCATCTTGTCGGCGGGCAGAGACTAGGTGAGCTCAAGAGCACCACAGTCTAAGCAGCCTCGAGACTCGCGCGTGAAGTGCCGGCGCAAGGCAATTCGCCCAAGAGTGTTGTGGGAGAGGCAGAATTTGGCAAGAATTTCGACATTTTGGCAGGCACTAAGCTTTGGCTCAGTGTAAGGTGATACCCTGTAGTGGAGAGCAACACGCAAGCAGCCAATCTGCACGCCAGGTACTTTTGGGCAATCAAGCCGAAGAGCAGGTACCACAGTAGGCCACGCAGGCGGTTTTTTATTGTTCCCGAATCAGGTCAGATGAACGGCGCACTGTGATGGCTACGGCGGCAGCGGCACATCGGCTGACCGACATTCGATGAGCCGACATGCACTTGCCTTGCTATCAAGCGTTTCTTTCCCTTTGAAGCCCAAACTCAATGTCGAAGTGCGACTTGGCGCACTGCATCGGCAAACCTCTCTGATTGGAAGAATGAGGCGATCGACATCGGGCGTATATCGGAGACGCGATTGAAACTTCGATTAGGTGAGATGGAATGTGTACATGTTCAGTGTTGGTTGGCTGCCTCTACTCATGCCAGCCGATCTGGAACCACCGGTAGGTCCTGGCAAGACCACCTTCGGGTTGACTAGTAGATGCAGAGTCGGACCTGACGACAGCATTCCAAGCTCCAAAGTTTTCGTGGCCGTGGTAATCCTGCTCGCAGAGGATATTGAGCTGAGGGTCGCGTAGCCCGGGCTGTGACTGGAAAGCTCGGTAAACAGCTTGCACCTCTTGCTGATGCGTCGGCCTCAGCGGCACCATTATGTGCAGAAGCGGTTCGTTGGTGAGGGACGCGTTCGGCTTCTTGAGCAGCTTCTCGGCCACTGAACGGATCCACGAGGGATGGACCGGATCGTATACACAGTCTAGAATCAAAAAGCGCAGGCGAAGCCGCGCGTCAGTATATGGCCCCAAGAGCAGAACACAATCATCGAGCACTTACCTGCAGCAATCAGGACATCGAATGCGCCCGAATGGGCTTCGACGTCGAACGATTCAAGCCAGCTCGAACCAGATGCAGATGCGGCGACGAGGTGATGGTCGGGCAAGGTCTGCGAGGTCAACTGCTGTTGCTTGCCAGAAATGCGGCCGATTCGGGCTCGATGGACGCTTTGCCAATCGAGACAGTGAGCTGTGACGGAGACCGGTGGCGGCTTATGTGCGTAGTCGTGCATGCCTGGATTGGAAGCGGACCAGCCATTGAGGGTGATATTGTGCTCGAGATTGTCAAGCACGGTAGGATGATAATCGGTGCACATGATGCGCGTGTGGTACGCTTCTCGATGACGACGTGCCCATGCAGCAAGAGCAAGACCAACAAGGCCAGTACCGGCACCAAGCTCGAGGACGTTCAAGTCGCGAGCGGCTTGAGCTTCACGATGCACGAGAAGTTGCGAAAGTATGGGAGCGGCACCCCAGGTATGGGTGCCTAGAGAGTCGTGTACAAGCGCAGCGTCCCTGAGGTCGACCTCGAGTAGCTGCTGGTCGAACTGAAACACATGCTTCTGGGTAGATGCACCGGCCGCCATTTTGCCGGCCGCGATTGCGAGCAGAGCGGCGCATCGTTCCGAGAGTTGTTCCGCCAGCGATGCTGCATCGTCGTCGTGCGGAAGGGTCAAGGTGAGGTCCGAGATGAGCCGGGAGAGCCATCTTGCGACGTAATTTCTTTCAAAGGCATCGACTTGCGCGGGCGGGTGTTCGACCGCGGGTTCGTTAGCTTCGCTTGGCTGGGGGCGAGACTGGACTTGTTGCGGGGGAGCGTGAAGGATGCGGCCACCGCTGGCGCCGAGCAAGCGAGCCAAGCTGTCGAGGTTACTGCGTACGCTATCGAGGCATTCCGGAGAAGCCAAGTCGAGCGCCTTCAAGCTGCGAAGGTCGCGACTCGGAAGGAAGCCCGGCTCGACCGACATGCGCCGAATGCGATGGTGCTGCGATCCTTCGAGATCAAGGTGGAGCAGGACGAGAAAAAAGAAGGTTTGGACCCTGATCTCGTCTGGGCGTCCAGTAACTGCAACAGTTGAGACCCTGTCGAGAAAGATCTAACAGCCAACCAGCTCCAGAATCACCACCGCAATGGAAAATCGTTCAAGAAATGCAGCCGAGCCTGCCGCTGTTTGACTGACGCTCCACGGATCCGTCAAGCCGAGAGATGCAGCAAGCAGCTCGTGTCGACGAGGTGATTGAGCACATGCTTCGATCCGATGTGAAAATTTCAAGATCTTTAGAATCATGATGTCAAGCTGCCGTTTCGCGACGATCTTGACTCGCTTCCAGGGCGTTGCATCCCTCATCGTGTCTACCTTGGTTGTGCGTCCATTCCATCAGCAGGCCAGTGTGGTACATCCTCCTCGAGCCGTCCATCACATCTGCCCGTCCGCTTTGATGCATCCTCGAACCGGACTCTATGGCGGACATGTGATATTTGTTGAATGATGCTCGATACCGTAAGTAACAAACAGCTCGAGCCAAGAACGACAATCGTGAGCTTGGCGATCCTGAAATGCAGGGCTCTGCCGCAGGTTGGTGATTTTCTTTTTCTTCTCTGAGACAAAGCGGGCCCAAAGGGGTGCGTGCGGGCGGGCGGGAGTGCGTGACTTTGGATGCAGGTGCAGAGTGTGCAAGGGTGCCAGGCATACAGAATACCGCCGCTCAGCCGTCGATCCTCGAAGCAACCAAACGGTCCCGTTGACCCTGCGCGCCCATTTTGGATTTGCTGATGCACCGTTGCAGCTCCGACGACGGAACGTTGCATCTCGACTGCCAATCCCGCTCTCGATCAGAGACTTACGGGTTACCTTGCCCTAAATCTAATCCACTATCCACTGTACCCTAAATCTAATCCACTATCCACTGTACCTCCAGTATTCGAACTCGTCCCCATCACTCCGTGATCCGGAGAGATCAACTGCTTCTCACCGCTCTTTCTCACCTGGGCTGCCACTCGATCTCGAACTCATTCTTCGTCTCCCGCTCATCTCCACCTTTGCGCCCTCTTCTGTAACCTTTCGGCCCGGCCGGTCCTCTACTTTCTTGCGCATTCGTTTTCATCGACGCTTTGCGCCTCGTATCGCGGTCCTCTTTCGTCGCGAAAGCGCAGGCTTACCCGATCAGATACCGACCATCACACTTCGGACGAACGTTACGCTGAAACGATCCGCAAGTGAAACGCCGTCGGTCTCTCCTGCTATTGCACTCGAGCTTCAACATGCCTGCATCAGCTTGATTCAGATCCCTTTTTTTTTGCTAATCACGAGCGGTCTCCCCTCGGCTCGATCAGGTGTTCGACATGTCACAACCAAGCACTGCCGCCATCGTTGTCGCCTCCATCTTTGGAGGCATCGCCCTCGTCTTTGGCGCCTACAAGGCGTACTGCAAGCTCTGGCGCTACACCCACCGTTCAGAAGAATTGCCGCCCATCAGTCAACCCCAGACCGCTTATCACGGAGGTGTCGTCATGTCCACTGTCACGGATGCACCTACATTTGCCTCCATAGACAGGCACGCCAGTTCCAACGATTTCCTCGCAGCATCTTCAGCATCTACATCGACATGGCCGCATGCCGACGGCCTCGCCTCGACCTCGACCAGCGAAATGCCTTCGCCCTCCATCCGCCCACTCGATTCCGTCGTGCTCTCCACTCCTTCCGATGTCTACGACCCTCACCTTAGAGGCACCTCGACCATCTCGAGCTCATCATCCACCATGACGCTCAAGCGCTCCTACCTCAGATCCCCATCCGCCTCGCAGCTCTCGTACATGTCGCACTCTAGCCGGCGCGAATCCTACCTTCCGCATTCTCCGCTCAATCGTGACTCGATCCAAATCATCCCGCCCCAACCGCTCGGCTTTGGCGGCAGCATGGCTATGGCAACCGATCAGAGGACGCTTGCGTTCAGCAGCAACAGTGGCATCGGCACATCCGACGACTTTACCAGCGGACTCGTATGGACCGAACGCAACTCGGATCGGCCGCACCGTGCGCAGCAGGACAGGAGGAGGTACCTCGCTCACGGTCCCACGTCGGTTCGAAGCAGTAGCGCCACACCCAGCCAGCTCTCGTCCTCGCAACCAAGCCCCACCACAGCGGCACGCTCGCTAGCATCCCGAACTCCAGACGAGCAGCTCTATCCCGCAGCCTCACCATCGTCTGAGACGCAAACGCCTGGTGCCAACGACGCGGCACCACAAGTCAAGCCTGAAGCTTCGGCCATCAATCCACAGCTGCTGAGCGCAAAAGACAGCCCATTGCAGAGGCTGCAGAGCAACGCTGGCTCAAGCGCACTACCGCGGCCACCGTCCCATGATAGCGGCACACCATCCGATTCGGACACTTCCCCCATTCTCAGCCCCTTTGTGCCGCAATCGGGGCCTCCAAGCTCTAGCAACAGCGCCGCCTCGCACTCAAATCCTCTGAGTGCTGAAACAAAACCTGGCTCGACATAGCGGAGCAAGCGTCTCGCCTAGAATCTCATTCATAAACAGTACAATACCTGTCTTGTTCCCACAATCAATGCTCTGCCTAAGCTGTGATTCTGAGCCCGTCTTCTGCTATTCCCCGGGGAGACGTCGTCCTTCAAATGCGGGGTAGGACAGCGTCACGGCATTGAACCTGATCCTGACGCAAACAACCGGGGCCTGCCACGTCCAACTCACAGGGCGTCCCAGTCTGCGCAACTCGAAGATGAAGTCAGCATCACCTGTTTTTCTCGACAGCGAGGAAAGAGAAGCTGGCAGACGTCACTGTATAGAACAACGGGGGTGGAGCTCCACTTCATTTGACCAAAAAGAATCAGATTCGAAGCAGAAGAAGCCACCAAAAACAAAAATATAAAGATACGGCAAGTTGAACATCCTCCAGGTTTTATAATCCCGGAAGAACACAAGTTAGAAAAAAAAAGAAGTAAACGACCCCAGGCGGGCTCGAACCGCCGACCTCAGCATTAACAGTGCTACGCTCTAACCAACTGAGCTATGGAGCCATGTATGCACCAAATAGCTCGGAAGCTGACTATGTACCGTCAGAATGTTGTAAGAAGATTTTCTTTCAGCAGAGAGCTGAAGTGAATTGGCTCTGGCTTATTGCACCAAGAAGCACGATAACTTCGACGCATTGACGCTGGCCATGTGTATCTATTTTTCGCGAGTCGACAGCGATGCGCGCAGAGAAGAGTGACTAGTTACAGAGGTGTATTTCACTTCATCGGGGGGACGATGGAGGTTGGTGGGAAAGGCGGCACCTCGGAGGGCGATGGCTGAAGGTCGCGACGAAGGGAATGTCAAGGACGCAGAGCGACGACGGCAACTAGGCGGCTGCCGAGCCGTTCTCAGCGGCGGCAGCAGCAGGTGCTGCCACGGACCCTTCCTTCTCGTGCTGTGCTCTCTTCTGCTTCTCTTCTGCGCGCACCTTTTCGATGATCTGACGACCTTCGTCGGTGTTCCAGGGGCCGGCGTCGGAAAGCGAGCAGCCGCCGGGGCATTCGCACTTTCCTCCAAGGTCGACGGGGAGGTTCTCGGCGGGGATCTGCTGGAGAAGTTCGTCTTGGTACTTGTGACCAAGGATCTTGATCTTTTCGACGGTGACGGGGTCGAGCCAGCCCTTGATGACGGACCAGACGGTGGTGAAGATGTAAGGGGCGTTGATGATGTAGAACTTGCCCATGGTCTCAGGGTAATAGTGCTGACCGATGTTGGAGGCCTGCTGGACGTAGCCCGAGACCTTCCAGAACTGGGAGACGCCGACGTTCTTGAGATCCATGATGGTGCACGACGTCTCGACGAGCTCTCCCTTGTGAGCGGAGCAGACCGGGAGTCGTTCTCGCTGGAACTTTTCGTACTCGACTACGAGCTTCTGGATCTGGCGTTCTGGAGTTGTTCTGTTGATCGAGGAAGGGCAGAGAGATGAGGCGATGTCAGCAACACGGCGTAGGGAGCGATCAAGATAGATCTGTCGCGATAAACATGCCGCATGAAGAGAGGGAGGGATGAGCGAGATACATACACCTGGTAAAGGGCTTTGAGGTCAAGTTTGCCAAGCTGTTCAATGTAGATGGGACGACCATCCTTGTCGGTCTTGTGATAGTACTGTGGGTAGTATTGGTCGACCTTCTCCTTCTCGGGGTACTCGAAGGAATGATAGAGCTCTTCTACCTTGAAGTCGGTGCGCCACTTTTCAGATTCGCTGAACATGGCCTCGGTAGCTGCGAGGTCCCATTTACGGGCACGAAGGAAGCGGCAGAGACAGGCATCGTCGTGTCGCTCTGGATTGAAGATGCCCTTCTCCTGGATGGTGGTACGGAAGGTGTCGAGAGCCTGCTGTTGGGAGGCGTCGAGGCTGCCTGGGCGGCCGCCCTTTGCGGCGTCAGTCATTGGTCGCTTTGAGTTGGAGTCCTTTTTGGTTCCCTTGTCTTTGTCGTGTTTGCGAAACATTCGCTGCAGCTGCGCCGTTTCCAAAGAGTGCTGAAGCCGGATGGGTCCAAGTTTTGCCAAAGCGTGGATAGGGCGGATGAGGTGAGCGACGCGCTTGTAGTACGAGCGAGGCGAAGGGCTTCAGTCGAAGCGATCCGTGTCGAGTTGGTGTAGAGACAAAGGTGGAGCAGACGCGGTTAGAAGGTGGAAAGAAGATGAGGAACGCACGACACTTGAGCGACACGACTGTGACAGCGACCGAAAGTGACTTTGGAAGCGAGTTGTGAGTGAGCTCAACTGCAAACGTGGAGGAGAGTGCGTGTGCCGCCAGTTTCGTGGGTGACAAGCCTGAATTAATTTCTCAACTCTCTCTCTCTCTTGATCCGCCCTCTGCTCTCGCCCTCTCTGCGTCCTGTGTTTGTGCACCTTAGGGGTGCTGCGTGTGTGCTGCCAGGAAAATGCACGAAATGCGAATGTGACGACGTTTTGACATCAACAGAAAAGCAACAGCCAACTCTCAGATGTTAAGGCAGAAGCAAGATCGCAATTTTGATCGAGTTTTCATCGGGAGGAATCGCACATGTCACGTGGATTCAGCCATTCATCCAGAAGGGGTCTGATCTGGAAGAACCGAACTGGTTCGCCTCTTCTTGTTCCTCGACGTGCCTTCACCAATCCTCAACGCAACTTTCCTCTGGCAAGACCGAGACGCGATCACCCGAGCGTCGAGCCAAGATGAACATCCGCGAAGCTACGGTACGTTTCCGCCTGGCCGTTTTCCGGAAAGGGCTTGACCAACAGTAGACTGATCACACCCGTCTTGATTTGCGCTTGGCGCTCTCTTCTCCAACGACAGATCGATGACCTGCTGGGCATGCAGAACTGCAACCTGCACAACCTTCCCGAGAACTACACACTGCGATACTACCTCTACCACGCGCTCACCTGGCCACAGCTCTCTTACGTTGCTGAGGACGAGAAGGGGAGGGTGGTTGGATACATTCTCGGCAAGATGGAAGAGGAGCCAGCTGATGGCATTCCTCACGGACACGTCACAAGCATCAGCGTGCTCCGTTCCTATCGTAGACTCGGTCTTGCCAACAAGCTCATGAAGCAAAGTCGTAAGTCTTGAACCCTTTGCTCTCCGTGCGCCGTCGACCAGCTTCCTGACACTGCTCACTCACATCTGTTTCTTTCTCCACATGCTGGTCTCTGGTCGCTTCCCGTCTTGATACAGAGGAAGCTATGCGCGATGTGTTTGGCGCCAAGTTTGTGTCGCTGCACGTGAGGCAGACGAACCGTGCTGCCATCGGCCTATATCGCGACACGCTAGGTTTCGAGGTGCATGGCGTTGAGAAGGGCTACTATGCCGATGGCGAAGATGCGTTGCACATGCGACTCAACTTTTGATCGATCCGACTCGTGCAGAAGCATCAGCCAGTGTCTGGTGGACGGACGTCACCGTATTGCATCTGAGCCACTCGATGCAACACCAACCATGTATTTGTATCTATCACCATAATCACAGCATCACGCAGTCACACTTATTCCGTCCACAGTCATTTGCCTACCAATGAGCAATGCTCATTGAGTCGTTCCATTGTATTCGAGTCCCCAAGAGGATACGCTGTGCTCTCCTCGTGGGGGTCACATGGGTGGGGCGAGCGTCAACGAAGAGGTGCAGCACAGTGTGCAGCGACGCAACAGCGACCAATGCACACGCAAACTCGTTCAGGGTCTTGGAGAGTGGAGGCTCAATTCAATTCAATCCAATTTACGGCCACGCCCGACTTGGCACGGTGCACTCAAAAGTTGACACTTGGTCATTTCGCTGCGGGCCGTGACCTTTGCTGTCATCACCGCACCCACGGTTCGGCCACCATCCGAAAGCATCGGGCGGCGCATCCGATACCATAGCATCTCTTGGCCGAGTCGTGCGCACTGCTGCCGCGCCGTGGATACGCTGCCATCGTCATGAAGTCACAGCTGCTTCGCTGCTCGAGTCCAAGTGTCAGCATTGACCACACTTTCGTGACATGAACAGATCTCAGCAAGCTGCTCAGCCTCGACATGGCAGTCAGCCGCCATCACCGGGGCAATCGCACCAGACACGACAGGCTGCTGTGTCGCTGGAGGATACTATTGCGCTGACGACGACGCCTCATCATCCATGGACTAGCGATCCTGCTCTGGCGAGCCAAGTTCAAGACCTGCCACCTCGGTACGATTTTCATCAATTCCCTCCTACGCCTCCTGCACTGGCCACCTCCGACTTCGCGCCAGGCTCGTATTTTGATCAACCTCATCTTCCCCCTTGTGGTTCAAGCCCACATTCGTCTGCCGATTTGCAACCCTCCGAACAGCCACCACGCTCGTTCGCCTCACGCTTTCCACGATGGGGCACATGGCTCGAAAAGCGTGCAATGGAGCGTCACTACGCTCAGCTTGATAGCGCTCAGCTGCGTCACTCACACGAACAATCTCTTGCCTCTCCAGAGGGAGCAGACACTCCGAACCGCAAGAAGAGCTGGGGCGCCTGGGTCAACGATCCCAATGCCGTCAACGATGAGTTGCCCTCGTCTTCCGTCAAGCACGCCGCATCCTCGCTGCCTTCACTACACACGCACCACTTTGGCTCTCGCTTCATCCCACATTTGCCCGCGCAGCCGCTGTGCAGCATCGTCGTCGAACTAACGCCCCCCTCGCATTCTTCTCATCATATCCATGCTGCTGAAAGACAGATTCTTCTGGTCGGCACTGTGCAAGGCTTATTCGCGCTCCAATTCCGGTCCAAGCACGCCTCTACCAGTGATGACCTGAGCGCACCTACATCAACGTCGTCAGCGACGTACCGTCAATGGAATGACAGCGTACGCTGTATCCCTGTCTGGACCGGCCTCGCTGTCTATCAGATGTGTGTACTCGCATCTCAGGATCTAGCCAGCTTCCAACACGCTCGCAACGCACAGCAAGAGACCACCATGAGCTCAGGTGTTCTGCTCGCACTCACTTCTCCTTCTTCTGCCAAGGATGGCTTCTTGGCTTCCTCCCTCATACAACTCAGCGCTCACGCAGGCTCTGTCTTGGAGAGCGTAGCTGCCTCGGCTGCCTTTCCTTCTACTTCGTCCAGCTCCAGTCACAGCAGCCACGGCATTCATGACCCCAACGAAGGTGTCGCCGCAGCCAATTTTGGCTCCACGTCCGGCGGCGGTCCTGGACGTGCGGTGCCTCCAGGTGGCACAGGCGTTGTCAGGATGTGGCATTTGCAGGCCATCAGAGAGCTTCTGGTATACGCACTCGACAGAGACGATGCTCAACTTCCGATTGATCTCGCAGCCGCATCCGGCAGCAACGTGGACAAGCGAGCGGGACTTGGCTCCATGTTCAAAAGGAGGTTTTCCCGACAGAAGCCCGGCTCAGAGAACAAACGAGGAGGTCACGAGCGAAGCATCTCCAGCGGCGTTCGCTCGACAACGGTACAACCTTTGCCGACACCCGATAGCGATACCATCTCTCCATCTCGCTCTCAGCCGTTTTCGCAAACCTCTTCGGCCCGCGGCATCAATCAAGACAGATTCGAGCAAGCATTTCGGCCGCAGCCGACTCGCTTTTCGTCCAGCGACCGGCAACAGAAAGATCAGTCGCCGCGAACGTCACCACGGTCGACTACGCGCCAAGTTGATCCAGCACATGCTGCTGCCATACGTCTCGCTTTCAGCTCGGTGCCCATTCAGCCTCCTTCACACGCAACAGCTGCATCGCATGGCAACAACGTCTCCTTTACCTCGCTGTTCGCTGACGATCTCATTCAGTCATTTTCTGGGGCTCGACAAGCAGGCGCGAAAGGGAAAGACCGCGAAAGCAGTGTGCAAGCTGCTTCCAAAGGTGTCCTCTTCTTTTCTGTCCACGAAGCTGACAAAGATACCAAGGCCTCCGGCACATGGTATCTGGCAATAGCCTATGCTCGCAGCGTGCTGGTTTATGAGGCTGCTGCTACTTCTAAAGGCGCTTCATCTAGGGCGTGGTCCTTCCTGAAAGAATTGTATGCGCCTTTTCCTATCAAGGCGGTTGCCTTTGCTCCTGCGGCTGTCTCAGACGAGCTACATCCTTTCGTCAATCCGGGCTCTTTCCCCATCAGTGCGGGGCCCACGAAGCTAAGGGTAACAACTGCCGATGGCACTCTTACAGCCAAGAAGGCGTCTCACCGAGAACAAGGCCGTGTCAAAGGTGACTCAAGCCCCGTCCTCTCACCTCGCGGTAGTGCTGCTCCGGCATCCTGGCACAAGGCCGATCTTTGTCTCATGCTCAGCTTTGGTCGAAGATCTGTGCTAGTCCGTCTCAGAGATTCGCAAGTACGCGAGATGGAAGTCAGACCTCTGGCTCAACTCCTGGCTGCTGCCGCTGATGACGGTGCAGCTCAATTGTCGCTCCAGACGCACAATCCTCCGCTCGCCGCAGCATATTTACTCAACCACGATCGATCCCGGCCTAGAAGTGTCAACGGCGACGGCGATCTGCCACCGGAGCGCCAGCTTCCCAACACCTCCGCACACTCGCGCACAGGATCTATGGAGCAAAAAATTCGCGACACCATTCTCGACAAGAGGTCAGTCAAGCACAACTGGGTAGGCTTTTCCGCCGTCGAAGCGCGGATTTTTATCCGGCAGTGTTGTAGACCGCGAACCGATCGGCAAAACGACGCATGCAGGCTAGTTCCGGAAGGGTCGGGCCCCTCGCTCATGGGAATTCGGATGGCCAGAGACCAGGTTTTCGCCTCGCCCATCTCTGTTGCACCTATTGATAAAGCCCTTCCCCAGGTTCCTGCACAACAAAACGCGTCATTCGATCGACGCATCTCGAGATTGCATCTGTCCGAAGAGCAGTCCAGGTATCATGATCAGCTTGAGGCCGAGAGCAGCAGCGACAGTGACGACGGATACGGGCTGGTCGACACGCGAGAGCGAGCGGCAAGGTACCAACTCACGGATCCAGGGCCTTTGCCCAGGGCGAACGAGAGAAGGAACCAAGCCGAAGTTCTCCTCAAGGCCCCCAATCGCGCCGCATCGCTTCCGCCCGCTGAGCCCGTCTCTGCCAAAGTGGCCCTTGCTACCAAAGGCAGCCTCACGCACATTCTTCCGCTTCCACTGGCGGCAGATGTTGCCCAAGCCTCACCCCTTGCAGTCATGCAGTGGTCAGACACGCCCAACGCTGTGTCGGGCTGGGCCCGTGTGCTCGGAGTGGAACGCGTTCAGAGCCACCCGAGCCAATCTCACAATGCTTCCGTGCCATCGGACGTCCGAGTCTCGTCTGGCGATGTTCCCGCCGCCAACCAGACTGCGCCGTCACTTGCTTTCGACACTCGTCGCAAGGTCGACAAGCTGAATTTGCATGTCGGAGTGACATGTGCTGCCTTCATGGCTAGCCGCATCGAGTCGCGGAAGGTGTCTTTCAAGATCCCGGTGGAGGCCAACTTCGACCTCTTGCCGGACAGCGAGCTGGAGCTCGTACCGCTTTCCTCTGATACACGCTACGCGCGTGCCCAAGGAGGCGCCGTGGAAGCGCCGAAAGCAGAAACCCATGGAGGTGTCGATGCCACCAACACGTTTCCCACCTCTGAGAGTTCGGCGCACTTCCCATACCCTCCCGTCCAGCATGGAGGTCAGACTCCTGCTCACAACATCAACCAGAGAAGCGCCGTCAGCCAGGAGCTCGAATACCTCTGCGCACCATTGCTCACGCTCAACCCAGTCGACCTGGACGTCCGCAGCTCTGGCGCACAGTCTCTCGTGCTGCCTCTGTCGCACACATCGGATCACGGGCCGACTGCACACGCCATGTTGCCAGACCTCGGCGGAGACGCAGGCATCATCGCGTTCGATTGGCGCGGCGCCGACGACTTCCGCATCTTCACTGTCGGCATCGCTGGCTAGGCTGCTCACCGTCTCAGACCCACTTCGTACTGAAAGCACATCGAGCAAAACACAACGAGAAAACAAATTGTTCATTTCCACATCAGTTCCAAATCTTTCCATGCAATTCAAAATTGATCCGAGTCTCGATCCCAATTCTCATCGTCAACCCCTTCAGTGCCCGTCGATGAGCTTCACTTTCACTTCTTGCGACCAAACATGCGACTCAAAAATCCACCCTTCTTGGCCGACGCCTCTTCCGCTTCCCACTGACTGGCGGTGGTGGATTGCCAGTCTCTCTGCTGTCGCCTCTTGCGGTTCTTCTTGGACCATTCGTAATCCGCATCTTCGGGGGCAGGGTTTCGGTGCAGCGAGGGAGTGGAGCGGTTGGAGAACAGACCGAAGCCTGACTTTTTCTGCAGCGAGGGTGAGCCTGGCGAGAGGGGTGCATCGCGCGATCGGCTACCGAACAGACCTCTGCGTTGAGATGCGGGCGAAGCGGGAGACGCACGGCGGTTGTCAACGCTGTTACGCGAGTAGATGGAACCATTGTCCCACGCGCGCGTCGGAGGGACCAAGTCGTCCATCTCGGGGTAGTTGTCCTGCTCCGACATGAGGCGTCTGCGAGATTGCCTCGGTCGAATAGAGCCAGTCTCGCGGAGCTGCATCGAGCGACGAGGTCGCGGCTCGGTCTCGAGCTCGTCTTCATCCTCATCGCCACCCCTGAGAGTAGCAGCGGACGCCAGAGCACTGTGCACCGTGGATCGACCCTTTTGTGCTCGAGACGACTCGCGCAATTCAGGCTGAGAGCGCACATTGCTCACCCTTCGCCTGCTGTCGATCGATCCACGCCTAGACGCCGTGTCTGGAGAGAGGAGGTCGGCCGACATGCGTGAATCGCCCTTCCTCGAATCGATCGAGAGCCTCGAGGCGCCGCCTCTCTCTGAAACGGGTGGGGCCAATCGGCTTGCGCGCGATGCCGACCTCTTGGTAGACGATTGCGTGGTGGACCGTTTAACCATGGCAGCTGCCTCGGCGTCAAGCCTGTCCTGTCTCGCGCGATACTCGTCCCTCTCCCTCTCGGCGCGCGTCGATTTTCGCGATCGTTCGGACCTGTGCGTCCTGACGGATCTGGCATCGGCGGCGAGATCGTCCTCGTCCTCCTCGGCGAAGGTGTCGAGCTGCCTTCGTGATGCGCCCTTCAGGTGACCGGCGGGCAGTGACGCCGAATTTCGCAGCCTGCCCGATGCATTGGAGATGATGCTGTTTCTCGAGTTGGCACGGTTGCTTCGACGCCTTTGACCACCCTTGGTGCTCTTGGACGCAGTGGAGAACCTGCTACGTGTCTCGAGGAATTCATCCTCCTCCTCGTCGAGAGGTTCTTCATCTGAGAGGCGGGCCTCGTCAACGTGTAAACCGATTTCGGAGCGTGTGTCGAACTCATCCGCCTGGAGCAGGCTGCCCTCGGACTTTGCAACGGCGCGAGCCATGCGGTCAGCCGGATTGTTGCTGCGGTCAATGAGGTAGAGATGAGCGGAGCCCTTTCGCTGGCGCTCGACACGCGCGAACTCGTGGCGAATGTCGGCGAGCTCGCGCAGGAGGTCCTCATCCACCAGGCGTCGACCCGGTGCGCGGCGCACGGGACGGCGTCGAGGAGGAGAGCGGTCGGGGGAGTAGGGATCGCCATAGCCATAGTCATCTTCATCGGCGTATCGGCGACGGCCGTCTCGACGAGGCGAGTCTTCCTCAGAGGGATAGTCGTAGCCGCCGCGACCATCTCGTCGTCGAGGACGGGAGCTTCCTCGTCGAGGGCTACGATCGGCATAAGGGTCGTTGGACAGCCAGTCATCGTGACCGTCGCGTCCGCCGCGACGCGGAGGCGCTCGTGAGTCGCGGTATCTGCCACCGTCGCTTGTGTAGCCATCTCGGTCGCGTCGACTAGGTAGATCCATATACCGAGAGCCGTGCTTATCGTAGGCCCTGCGCTGGTTCCTGCGTCGCTCGCTGTACTGATCCTCCCAACGCTCGCGATCGCCTTCCTCCTCGTCATCCTCACCAGGCCAACCCCTGAGCTCCCAGGTTGGGATCCAGGTGCCCCAGGCCTTTGCGACGTAGGCAGAGTCGATGCAAACGTGGGCACAGGCACGGCCACGGTAAAGCTCGTAGATGGTGTGGAGAGCAGTGATGGCCGAACGCAGCTCTGCACGGCGAGAGAGCGATGAAGGGGTGGGCGCCTTGGGATTGAGAAGGTGACTCGGCGTCCTGTCTTCCTCGGGAAGTAAGGAGGCCATGTTCTTGGGATGACCAGGGCCGAAGTAAAGAGAGACAGCGCCCGAGACGTGAGGCTGAATAATGCTGCCGGTGTCGATGGCGGTGGCACCGACGAACACAGCGATGGGGTAACCATCACATCGGTGGTCTTGCAAGTTGTGGCCTGAGAACTGCTTCATGACGCGACGCATAGCTTCGTTGAGCTGAGGTTCGATGTACTTGCGGATGCGCGTACCGGGAAAGACCTGGCTGTCGGAATCGAGCATCTTGGAAGCTATGGAGGCAGGTCTGCGAGCGGTTGCACGAGATGCAATGCTGAGACGGTCCGAATCGCGATGATGGATGCCGGCTGCGGGGAGCGCCTCGCGATACGAAGGGGACTTTGGCTCGATAAAGCTGGAAGCGTAGCGGGAGCCAGGGCCACGTTGAGACTGGTGAGAGTTACGGACCGATCCGCCGAAGTCGAGGAGCGAGGCGGCTGGCAGGAGGCGGCTGAGTCTGCTGCCACCACGTTCGGAGGCAGAGCGGTAGCGTACGTCGCGCATCTCGGTCTCCGGCGAGTCCATGAAGCTTGCTGCGCGAGAGGCGGCTCGGCTACTGGGCTTGCTGGTAGCGGTGGTCATCTTACTGAGACGCTTGGAGGCATCCTGGTAGTCGCCGGCCTCCGAGTGCTGGTACGGGAGCGTGAGATGGCTAGCGTAAGAGGCACGAACGCTCTTGCGTTGGGTTCCGCCGTTTCTGGTGGAGGTGAGCGAGGTGTCTGGGACGGCGAGCTGGTCGCGGGCGGATTTGGACTTGACGGGACTGGGCTCGTGTTTTGGAGCAGCTTTTTCGGAGGTGGCATCGTCGTGAGAGGTCGGAGGCGATTTTTGGAGGGTGCTAGTATCGCTTGAAGGGTTCTTGTTGAAGATAGCAGGTGAGTCTTCCGAAGCATCGCTCGATTCCGCCTCATCCTGTTCCTGACTGGCGGTAACGAGACCTTTTGGCGAGCGGGCTTGACGGGCTGCTTTGTCCGTCTCGTCGGCATCGCCTTGCAGCTGATCCTCATCGTCCTCCTCATCGGAAACGTCATCTTCATCGTCCTCGTCGTCGGTGGCAGAAACAGCACGCGTGAAGTTGGAATCTCCGGTTGCTGTCCTGAAAGAGCCATGAGAAGAGCGCCGTGACAAGCCCGACTCCGAGAGAGCAGCAGCGGATGGACGGCGCTTAGCTGGAGGAGCCACCTGTTCCCTGCGTTTAGTTGCGGTAGGCATGACGAAATGGTTTTTGGTGGTCTGCGAGCTGAATCAAGTGATGCTGTCCGGACGCTTTGGTAACGGCGGAAAGGCTATGGGCCGACAGCGATTGTTCGCTCCCTGGGATATGGTATCTTGTGGATTACAGATGGGTATCGAGGACGTCAAAGCGTCGTGTTGGGGTTTGGTCGTTGCAATGGGAGGGGCAAGGAGGGGATGAAAGGGGCAGGTATATGATGGTGGAGAGAAGGAAGAGAGCGTGTGGATGATGGTGATGAAGAAGCAAGGAACAAAAGGTAGAGGTGCCGTTAAGGTGTGACGGGCAAAGGGAATCGACGCAACATGGCCGTTGGCAGGTGCGGGGGAAACATCTGCAGCAACCAAATCGGATCGATGCGAAAGCAAAAACAGTGCTCAACTCTCCCGAGCAAATCAGATGGCTTGCAGCGGCAAAGCCAGCCAGCGCACTAGCGGCTGCGCACTTCCACAAGGGGCAAGATGCTCACAGATTGCAGGATGTTTAGGCACCTTGCCTCCTTGTCTTGCAGATACTCTGGAGCTGCTTAGCCGAGTTTTTGGGGTTGTTGCGCTACTGAGCTTGATCTTACTTTCAGACTGTCGTTACCATCCATCCCTACATCCGTCGTTCCAGGCATGTCGGCTATCGTCTCGCAATGCAGATGCTCAGAGTCGAGCAGCCGCAAGAACAAGCAGTCCGATTCGAGTCGAGTCGGAGTGCGGCCGGTATTGCACCACACACGATCGGAGGTCCCGTACAAGGGGACGCCACATGTTGACATTTTAACTTCTCGTCAAACTGTTGCTCGCCCTACAGAGACGGATCAAAGCCGCCTCGCACCGGTCGGCAAAGCCGAGGCAGCGCTTAGTACAGAGGCAAGCGAAATGAAAGGACGTGATACATTACACTGAATGCCAGCAACGCCTCGCTCCTGAATCTGCAGGGATCCAAGCAACACGGGGCCAACTTGCCCCGTCACTCTAGTCACTTCCGACAACTGTAAGGCGTAGGAGCAGAGGACCCTTCCCCGGCTGTGCCTCCCTCGTCGTTTGCAACTCCAGTGGTGTGTTTTGAATTTTAGCGTGGACAATCTTTGAATTTTCGGTACAGCGTACGTTCAGGGGAATTGCAGCTGCAGCAAGAGGACGATCAGATTTGGCGATCCCTGACTGGAGCAGGTCACACGCGAAGCGAGAAGGACACAACAGCTGCCTATGCAAGTGAAAATCCCCCTCACGTCGATCCGCTTAGCGTGCTCCGAAATGGTCAACTCGGGCAGCGACCACGCGCTGTTGTGTTTCCGATAAAAATCAAAACAGGATGTGAAACTGCGGGGGGGG